AAATAAAATAAATAAAATAAATAAAATAAATAAAATAAATAAAATAAATAAAATAAATAAAATAAATAAAATAAATAAAATAAATAAAATAAATATAAAGAATATAATTATATTATAATAAAAAATATAATATATCTTAATCTAATCTTAATTATATAATTAAATTATTTTTTATATCTTAACTTAACTACTAGATTATAGTCAGATAAGGTTAAGATATATTCCTGCCCAGATTAACCAACAGTTAACCTGCGGGTCAAATTTCTCGGCAACTAAGTCTATTAAAGAAGGCGGTAGGTTTAGGCAGAATGTTTCTGCCTAATTCTTGCCTGATTTGTGCCTAATCCTGCCTAATTCTGCCTGATTCAGGTATAACGGTTAACCGCGGTTAACCGTTATACCTGCGGTTAATCTGATTTTTATACCTTAACCTGACCGCCAGGTTAAGGTCAGGTTAAGGTTAAGGTATAACGGTCAGGTTAAGCCACTCTAACCTATAGTCAGGTATAAAAATTCCTATTAATCTGACCTAACCTGGCTGTTAGCTACTCTAGTTGTTGGGAATAGCTTCAAGTTTAGTGGGTGCATTCGCAATTTTGGAGGTGGGCGGGTCGACCATGAATTACATTAAACTATGTAACCTAGTTCTTTCCAACTAAAGGCGTGGTGGTTGGGTTCTCAGCTTCAAGGATAATTTAAGCCATCTCTTGTACTTGGAAGTGCCTAGGAGCACCACATATATCTAGTAATACTATCCATGCTACTAGTGCTTCTTCCTGTCGTATAGATAATTTATGCTTGTCATTGTGGAGTTCTCCCTGAAGTTGACATCCCTTCAATTGATCATATAGGGTTTAGGGATGCAAGTTATAAATCTTAATAGCTTGCTCAATACCGAATTCTTTTTCATTTTCTAGATCTTGAATCACGCATTGGATCCTGCCTTCTTGCTCCATTGATTCTTGCCTTGATTTACGCGCTTTTTGTGGCATGGTGGGTGGTTGAAAATGGTGTGCAGCGACCGCGCTCTATCCGCACGTATCGGACCGAAGAGTGTTGCTTCCAACGAGCACCGAAGGGCGATTAACGGAAATGGCTCGTATGAATTATTCCTACTCCGCCGGAATCATCGCCGCGAAGCCGTAGCAAGGTCAGTAACTTGATAGCCAAGAACGGACAGGCCTATGCGGTGGCAGTCCCTTATGGTACTCAGGGTAGCTTATGCGAGGCCGACGGCCGACGCCACTGGGGGGTTCGGGGTCTTGTCCCTAAATTCACTCGATGGCTTGTTCCGGTCTTCCTATATAAACTCGACACTTCCTCGCTAAAACCCGACAAATACCACTCAAAATTTCACTTCCTCACTCCGCAATATGACAGTGCAAGATCTGGAAGCCGGCTCCCAAGTCGCAGTCAACGACCAACCACCTGAGAAGTCACCCGGGAAGGCTGCCGTCAGCCCATGGCATCCGAGTCAGTACCCCGACGGAGGAGTGAAAGCCTGGATGGTGACGGCCGGCGCTTTTAGCTGCGTCTTCTGCAGCTTTGGCTGGATCAACTGTGAGTATAGACATACTTGTAATGAAGAGAAAGCTAACAGGAGACCAGGTATCGGCATCTTCCAAGACTACTACCAGTCCCACCAACTACAGTCCTACTCTTCGAGCACAATTGCGTGGATTGCTTCGCTTGAACTCTTCATCATGTTTGCAGGTGTATGCACACCATTGCCCCAATCCCAAACGCAAATCTAACAACTCTGAAAGAGTCCCATCGTCGGTCGGTTCTACGATAACTACGGCCCTCGCTACATCATCCTGACGGGCACTTTCTTCCACGTCTTCGGACTCCTGATGACATCCCTGTGCAAAGGATACTACCAAATCCTGCTCGCGCAGGGCGTCTGCTCCGCCATCGGGACGAGCTGCCTCTTCTCGCCCGCCACAAACTGCGTGCTTACTTGGTTCCACAAGAAACGCGCATTTGCCATTGGCATCGTTGCTGGCGGCTCGAGTCTCGGCGGGGTCATTTTCCCCATCATGCTGAACCATCTGATCCGGCAAGTCGGGTTCGGATGGGCGATTCGCATCGCTGCGTTCATGATTCTCGGCATGCTGATTTTTGGCAACTTGACTCTGTCTTCGCGACTACCTCCGAGCCCGAAGGAGCTGAAACTGGTGCAATACTTCGCCCCGCTGAAAGAAAAAACCTATCTGTCGACAACAGTGGGCTCTTTCCTCTTCTATTTGGGAATGTTCCTGCCCATCAACTACATCCAGTACCAAGCCACGTCTTACGGCATGTCCGAGAGCCTCGCGGAGTACCTCATCCCGATTCTCAATGCGACCAGCCTGTTCGGCCGGATCCTGCCTGGCTGGATAGGTGACAAGGTGGGCCGCTACAACACGCAGATTGCGACATGTCTGTTCTCGGGAATTATCGCTTTGGCGCTCTGGATTCCGGCGAAACACACTGCGCCGCTGATCGTCTTTGCGGCGCTGTATGGTTTTGGATCAGGGGCTTTCGTGTCACTGCTTCCTGCGATGATCGCCCAGATCTCAGATGTTCGCGAGATTGGGCTAAGAGTGGGGTTGGAGTTCGCGGTTATGTCTGTTGCGGCGCTCGTCAGCAATCTAATCGGAGGCGCGCTGATTCAGCACGATCATGGCTCGTTTCGCGACCTGCAGATCTTCTGCGGGGTTGTACTTCTCGCGGGCAGTGTTGGGTTCATCATGGCGAGGCTGTCGCTAAACAGGAAGCTTTTGGCGATGGTGTGAATACGGGATAGACATTTTGTTTTCTCTGCGGTCTTTTCGGTGAGGTCAAGGCTGCTGCTGCCTTTCGGTAGATACTTCCCTACAGATACACTTGCTGTTTCTTTTGTACTTTATGTGTGATCTTCTCTTCTCTTACTGTGCATAGAGGGACTATCTAGTGCTAGTTCCTAATGCATCAATATGGTTGATACATAGGTAAACAGGATTGTATGTCTAGTCATTCATCAACTAAAAGTACCTCCTGGCAGGTTCTTTCCCAGCCTGCATCAGGCGCCCCGAGGTCGGGCCGGGTAAAGCTTATGCGAGCCCTAACCGCTTATGCGAACACCGAGGTAAGGGCGATAGCAAAGTTCAGGGGGGGCGAGAACGAACCACTCATATTGTGCACCGCAGTGGATTCGTCTTGATTACAAGGAGCCGATGATTGGTCAAATTTCTGATGTTTCGGTTTCTGCGTTGCAAGGATGTCCTTCTCATACCCAGACACACCTCCACAGGGCAAGCGCGAGGACCCTGCCCGAATGCGACTTGTGGTGCAGCCCTCTGGTTGAATTTGTCATTCTGTATCCAGCGACCAGGCTTTAAGAGCGCCAGATCTGGATTATCCCACGGCTGTTGCCCGCCTTATAACCCAGTAGATAGTTTGGAAACATCACCAGGGCTGACTAGGGCAGGTTGCAGGAGTACGCACGTCACAATTGTGCCCTTGGGAACAGCGTGCCCGAGAATCTGGGTGTCAGTTAGGGCTTGTCGGTCAAAGGCTGTTGCGAGGTTCGTGAAGCGGAGGATCTCTTGTACGGCCGCTTTGAGGTAGGGGACGTCTGTGTTGAGGATTTCTTGAATTGTTCGGGAGCGTCCGGTCCTCGTGGCTGGCATATACCCTTTTTCAAGGGCGCGACGGAGGTTGGACTGGATCTCAGGAAAGTCGGTGAGGTACTTGAAACCCCAGCAGAGCGTGGTTCTGGTGGTCTCGTATGCGGCGATGGTGAAGCCTGCGACCTGGATGGGTTAGTGTCAGCTCTCGGGCTCACCGGTTGTGAGAATGTTGTATCCAACCTCGTCAATTATCACGCGTGAGAAATAATCGGGCTTTCGTCCCTCCTTATCAACCAGGTCCCTCTCATGGGCAACCATATGCTTGACAGCGGACATTGCAATATTTTTCTTTTTCCCGTGAATCTTCGTAACTGCCTTGGTTAATTCTCGTTGAACATGCTCCTCCATCACCATCATCGCATCCGTGAGGATCTTTCTCCGTCAAACAATCTCCCACTTCGCCCTTGGCAGCAAACTCCCCTTCAACTCCCCCATCGTCTTCGTAGGCTGCTGCGTAGTCGCCAAGTATTAGGGTTGGGGGGCGGGAGGGGTTGGTGAAAAACTTGGATTAGAGGGACATTGAGGGTTCGGAGGAGCGATGTAGTTAGGTTGTGAATGTGTTTGTGGGGTTGGCTTTCAGGTGGGAAAGAAGGGAGGGGATGTCGCCGAGGATGGAGATTGCTGAAGGTGGGTTGTAGGGGATTGATGCGATAGGGGAGGGGCGGAGGAGGTGATAGAGAAGGTAACTGATTAAGCCGCCGGAGAAGATGGCGAGGGTGTAGGTGAGGCCCATAGCTGAATTTAGCTTGTAGGCAAGAGGTTGCTAGCAATTGGGTGACAGCTCATGGAGAGAGTTGTATAGCTCCTGAAGTCAACGCTGCTGAAGCTGAATTGGTAAATTTCGGTCATACTTCTATGCTGCGTCATTTTGTGGGCTAGATGCTGCGTCGGCGCTGTAACGCTGACTGCGCGTTTGTTTGCTGGCGTCGCTGCCTGTCTCGACGCACCATGCATGCCTATTTGCAGAAGGCTCTGTCTGTAACAATTCGAACACAGACAGAATCAAATCTTTTTTCCACCATGGCGTATCGGCGTTCCTCGCGAAAGATTGAAGTGATGATCCCAGTCTTAAGCAGGAAGGCTAGGGAAGAGCTGGATAGGAGAGTTGAAGCTACAAAGATAAGGGATAATTTGGAACATATGGGCTGTGTGCTTGTACTACAGGAGGTCCCAAAGCTTAAAGTTAGCTATTGCCAGGTGGGGAATTGTAGGATCAAGAGACGCATGGGAGACCCAAGTATTTAGTCTACATATCATGTGGCTTTAGTGGATCCTGCAGGTATGTTATTTTGGTTGGATTACTATAGAAGTGATGCTAAATATCTAAAAGCCCATGCAAGATATTATCATATTACTTGCCTGGAGCGCCTCTTTCCAGACCTTCTATCTTTAATCCAGAGCAAGTACTTGAAGGTTAATAGCTACATATCCACTCCTATGGATACTTGGCTTGACTTAAGCTGTGCTGTGCAGGCCATTGATGATTGGTTTTGCTATAAGGAACAAGTGCATAGGCTTGACTGTTACTACCGATTCAAGCAAGCATATAATATTTGGAAGGGTAACTTAAGCCTGTGTTGGCTGGAACACTAGCTTGACCATGATGAAGAGCCAGACAATAACTGTTATCACTGTCTAATGGTGCCAGGACCACAGGAGCCTTGACAGGGTGACTACTTCTATAAAGAGCTTCAACCCATGCTACTAAGTAAACTACTAGCAAGCTTAGTTACTGTGCCACATCTTGATAAATGGTAGCACTAGATATAGCAATAAATCTATTTATTCTAAAAGAGTTTATTGTAGTTACTACAAGTCTTAGTACTTGCTGGTGATTGTAACCCAGCCCCCTCAAGAATTTGCTAGAAATAGGGACAGTAGCTTGATTAGGGGCCAGTATTATCTCAAAGATTATATTAGGAGATTATATCTGCTTCTTTGACTAGTAAAATCCACGAAGGGCTATAAAGTCTAGTAATTCTAGAATACCTAGCATATTAGAACAATAAGATGCCTCTCAAGTATAGGCAGGCAGTATCTGATAATATTTGTCATGGTGGAACTTGGAAACTTGAACCAGTGTTATACCAAGAGGAGACCAGCTAGTTTACTAAAACCCTGCTAATAGCCTAAATAGAGGTCCAGCGCATCCAAGGCTTGATATTAGTGATTTTGGGCTGCTGGTTATTAGAATAAAAGAGTAGATGCGAGGTAAACCAAAGATTCCATTAGATATAATAATATAGCTAGTATCCGAGCACTCGGTAAAGGGAACAGTCAGCGCTCGGCGTTAAGGAAACGATGTATCCATCCGTCCTCTTTCGGGGAGAACGGTTCACATTGGTGAGCTCGAGTCGACTCGGCTCGCTAGGGGAGGGAAGTGAGGTGTCAGATCGTTGAAAAACTGGGCTGGCGACCCCTGCTTCGTTAGCGGAGAGGGTTTATGACTCGCCGTCTCATTTTATATAGAACATGTCTTTTTGGCGTTGAGTTATATAGTATATAGACGGTTAAGGCCCGACGTGGTTTGTCTCATTTACTCAGCATCGAAGGGGTTCGATTACGCTGCGGAGGATAGTTGGCCTAATGCAATCATCCATCATATCTCTCAACTAAAATCCCCTATCAAAAGAATGAATACTCGAGTCCTGCCTACCTCCACCCCATCACCCTCCAACTACATTCTCCCCAAACCACTCACGCAAATCCAAACCACTCACGCAAACCCAAACCAAGCCATATCCTGATCCCCATGAATCGGCACCGTGTGCCCAACGCCCGTGGCATAGATCCCCTGCAACTTATCCCCCCAGACAGTGGTGACATAGTTGTACTGCGGGGTGTTGGCCTCTGTCCTGGCGGGCGCATCGTAGTTGTACCCGAACACGCCGGCCCACTGCTTGACGGTCTCGTAGTAGTTCTGCGGGTACAGCGTGGTGTCGGCGCTACCGTGGTAGATCTGCATGCGGGGCCGCGCGCCGTTGTACCCGGGGTCCATGGCCTCGGCAATGGCCGCCCAGTGCGCCGGCGTGGTGATCGACCTGCCCTGCGAGCAGTTGTTGTTCCATGCGTCGACTTGGTTGCTGGAGCTGTAGAAGCAGCCGGCGGGCACGCCCGAGTAGACCGTTGCTGCTGCGAAGAGATTTGGGTAGGTTGCTGCCATTACGTTCTGTTTCTGGGGTTAGTTGTGGGGTGCGGGAAAGAGAGAAGTAGGTTCGTGGGGTTTGGGGCTTGGGAGTATGGGGACTATGCTTAGGTAGTACTGACCGTCATCATTGCGCCGGAACTGGTGCCCGTCACAAACACCTTGCTGGTATCCGCGTTGTACCTAGAGATCGTCCAGGTGACCATGTTGGCGATGGAGTTGCTGTTGCCCCCGCCATTGTGCGTGAGCGTCGCCTCTGAGCTGACGTCCCAGCAGGCGCCCGAGTACGGACTCTGCGGATAGATGACAATGAAGCCGTGCCTCTCGGCCAGAGAGGCGTATGGGGAGTTGGTGTAGTAGGCGTTGGCAGAGCCGGTGCCTTTGTAGTGTTGATGCTTTAGCTTCTTCTTCTTCTTCTTCATAATCTGGAGGTGCGTGCCACTTGGCATTTCAAACGAGAGAACGCAAGCACTTACAGTAATGAATCGCAACAATAATACCGGGCTTGGCGGCTAGATTATTCGGGACATAGATGTACATGCCCACGTTGGTAGGGTTGCTGCCAAAATTGGTGACCTGCTGCAGATATCCAGCCCGAGGATAAAGGGAGTCCGTGTCCCCAAGAACACGGGCACTGCATGCCAGTGCAGAGAGCAGGCAGGTGAGCAGGAATGAGATCGGAAGCATTGTGTTGACAATTTTGATATCCAGATAGTCGGTCGATTTCTGGAATTCTTGCTCAATCTCAAGGTCCAGCGCACTCCTTTTATGCCTCGAGGATATGTATAGTAACGTGCATCACGGCTAAATCCCACTCCCTCAAAACGCTGCTGCACAATCATTCTGAGGTCGACCCGCGACAAACCCCAATTCTGCCTTTGTAGGATATTCAACCGGCGTGGACGGTCGGGGGTATTCTCCGTGGATCAAAAGGCTCAGCCATTCTGCAGGCGCCATTGATGGGGGGGATCGTCTGGGATAAACTGCAGTTGAGGGTTAAGGATCGTCGTTGCCGGGCTGGACTCCGTCACTGAAGGCGTTAGAGTTTGGCACACGGGATCATTTGGCGTTTCAGGCACTGACCCTGGAAATGCGGGGAATCGAGTGCCGGTGGCTGCAAAAGCTATGAATAACCGGGTTTCAGCCGAATTCAAACAGACTTGTTTTGAAGGATTATCCGGCTGCCCCACCTCATATCTTGGGATTTTGACGATGTTGACCTCCGCGTGTCCGATGTTGACAGGCGATGTGAACGATGTGACTGGCATTTAGCAGAGCTTTGCTGAAATTAGGCTGCAAGACTGGACTATGCAAGTAGATCAGTATCGGCTTTATAGCCGAAGAAGGGCCACAACAGGCTTAACTCGAGCGTGGGTATTTATGAAAGGCAGAATGAAGCATTCATGCGCTTGTTAGGCTATGGACTTTTCCATTCAATATGCGCTACTAGACCATTCCGTTGAGAAAAATCCCAACTATCCACCTCTGAAGTACTGGTAGAGAGCCCTACAAGGCGACATGAACATTGACTAGAACTTTATCTTTTGTAGAATGTGTCATGTAGGTAGTATAACACCACAGAAGGTCTTAGTCGTGGGAGAGGGGAGCGCCATTGCCATAAGCCTAGACCAGCCCACTGGCTTGACACACCCTTGGCGAGAATCAAGTGGATAGCAGTCTTGGCTGTCGAGGATCTGGCCATCGAGGTCTCAGAGGACACGCCTCTAGTATCGACACTGCGATCAATATATCCACAAGAGATTGAGAGCTTGTAGCAAGATAGAACACCTCAGCATCAGTTAACAAGTTCTAAAACACTTCAATTATATGAACCGCGCCGATTCCAGTCATCTCAAAGATGCGAACGCAGCTCGCCCAACGTCCCCAAAGGCTCCTGAAACCCAATAAACCCCCTTGCTTTGACCTCCGCCAACTTAGCACGAAACGGGCCGAGCCCTCCAAGATAGAACAAGCTCGTCGGCTTCTTGCCAACGACGTTCTTCCCAAACATCCACGACGGCGCCTTGGCAAAAATTGTCTTGCGCGCGGTCTCATCACAATGCTCCGTCCACCATCTCTCAGCCTCGTGCGTGGCTTCAATCTCACACTGACGCCCGGTTCTCTTGGTAATCTCTTCCGCTCGCCGGATCAGATCGCGCAGGAATTCGACATTTGTCTCCGTGAGGGGCGGCACATTGGAAAACCCAACCATCGGTCCCGAGACGATGAGCAGATTGGGATACCCTGACACCGAGCAGCCCATATAACACTCCGATCCTGTGCGCCTCCAGCGGTCACTCAGATTGTCTCCCTCCTGACGACCTTGGAGGTTGACCCGCGCGTAGCTGCCATCCATCGCATCGAAGCCCGTGGCCACGATGAGGACATCCAGGTCGTGGAGCTTCCCGTCTGCAGTGCGAATGCCCTCGGGAGTGAGTTCCGTGATGGGATGCTCCATCACATCGATAGCATACACATTCTCCCGATTGAATTTCTCGTAATACCCAGAGTCGCTCAACGGCCGCCGAGCATAGGGCTCCTTTGGCGTCAGCACCCTTGCCTTCTGCGGATCCTTCACAATGCTCGCAATCTTGCGACGAATAAACCGACAAACCTCCTCATTAGCCTCCGGATCGGTGGTGATATCGCTGAACCCTCCAAACATAAACTGTATTCCATTGCCAGAGTTCCAAAGCGTCTCGAGGATATTCTCTCGGTCCTCCGGCGCCACTGCGCCAAATTTCCGGGACGATTCGGTGAAGCCCATGGCGATATGCGAGGAAAACACATCCGCCCAGATCTCCGGGTACCGCTCGTTGATCACCGTTCGTTCCTCTTTCGTCATCACCCGATCATTCGCGGGGACGCTGTACTGCGGCCGTCGAATGAACACATGCAACGATTTGACCTTGTCAGCAATTGCAGTCACAACCTGCACCCCGGACGAGCCCACTCCAATCACCCCGACCCGTTTACCTTCCAGCTGAGTCTCTGGATCCCACGATGAGGTATGCACCACCCGGCCCTTGAACGTCTCCATGCCCGGAATGCGCGGTACAAGAGCCTCGTTCAAGAGCCCCAGCGCCGTCACCAGGTATCGCACCACGAACACATCTCCAGTCCGACAATACACCTTCCACCGCTTGGCAGTATCGTCCCATTTCGCCTTCTCCATCTCCGTATCAAGCTGCATATGCCTCCGTAGATCATACCGCGCGACAACATGGCGCAGATACTCCAAGATTTCTGGCTGGGTGGAATACCACTTGGGCGCCGGATAATCCAGCAACAGGTCCCGATCGAAGGAGTAGCGATAGACGTAGCTCCAGGTATCGCTCAGTGCACCAGGGTAACGGTTCCAGTACCACGTGCCACCGACGTCACTGGCTTTGTCGATGGCTTGCACCGTCAACCCTTCCCGGAGGAGGGTGTAGAGGACGTAGATCCCGGCGAAACCAGTACCGACGACCAGGGCGTCGAGGTGGTGTTCTTGGGGCATTGGAATTTCCTCTTTATGTCTAGGCTTGGCTTGGGTGAGTGGATAGAATGGCGATCTAGTTCACAGTGCTGAAGTGATGTGTGTATGGCTGCGAGTAAGAAGATCAGCATCTATTTATAAGCTGAAAGGCACATCATCACCCTGCCTCCCATCTTATAAATCATAAAATCCAATCCTTACCAAATTGAAGCACATACCTACACCTCCCCTCTTTCCTGCGCGTAGCAAACCATGGGTCTCGGAAATGACTGGTTGGGACTACCCCTGTAGGTCGAATTGAAGTGCCTCGGAAGTACTAATTCCAGCGCCACCGGTGTGACTTCAAAACCCCGCATTGGGAAGGAAATAAGGCAGGTCCATGCAGAGCACAAGCATTTCCCCGCTGAGCGCGGATCAAGAGGTGGGAATTTCCGCTGCAGTGAGGTTTTGCTGACGCCATCTGCTTTTCCCCTCCTTGTTGAGTGGGTTTCAGTACTGCAGACCTCAGTATCTATGTCAGAGAGAATGATGGAGCAAACCCCCTGCAGGAGAAAGAAAAAGAGCTGACTGACGTGAGCTTGGTCGAGGTCTGAACATGTTGATCACATGTTGGTCATAGGAAGGAGAGAAGGATTGTACTGGATAGTACTACTTTAAAGATAGGCGGCGGCAGTCGCTCAAAAGGGCTATCGCGCTTCATGACCTACTCTACCCGTGAGATACCTGGTACCGGGTAAATGGAAATCTTACTCCTAGTGTTCAAGCATCATATTGGGACATTTGACATTTCGTAAGAGTCCTAGGTCTTATCAGCATGATATCCTACTCTACTGGAAGAGAGCTCGTATCCAGAAACTTACATGTAACATAATAGCCCTTCATTCACCCGGCGGGTTGGAAATTTCGGCTAGCTGACGCTCTTGCCATCAAGCCTTCAAGTTGTCGAAACGTAGTTCTATGAAATACTAATCCATCTTACTCGTGAAGCTGAAAACGAAATATGCATGATAGGAAGGAGTATACGTACATGCACAATTCACTATCCAAAGCTTGATTCCCCACTGATGATCAGGAAACGCCCCAGGCCACATTCGGAATTAGGAGAACGGCCAGAATCTTCTCCGCACCCTGGATGCAGACAATGAGGGGTGTGGTACATGAAACGGAGTACCTTTCCTATCTGTTGGGGACAGCGCAGATAAGGCTGTGATAAGTGAGAGCCCATTTAGTGACTGATATACCGGCGAAAATTGTATGCATGCGATGATGCCATCCATGGACAGCCAGACCGCATGTACATTCCGTATCGTTGTCCGAGCCCAGCGCATTCCTATTGAGAAGACCCAGGGTTATGTCTACAATAGGTTCGCTAGCCTTGTAAAGCCACTCCGAGTAAATGGTGTTATAGTCGGCCTCAAGATTGCGCACACGACCATGGGTTTTGAGCGTATAAGGATACTCAAGTGGCGCCCAAGTGGTAGTAGACCGACTCGTAAGGAGTAGAGGCCCGATCAGAATATCAGCAAGATGAGGGACTATAGGAGCACGATTGCCAAGGACGACATGCGCATATTGATTCGGCGCAGGGCCACGGTGATCGAGATGATCTATAACATCTGTCTTGTTCGGCCGCATCAGCTCCACAAGGGCACTGACAACCTTAGCAAGCGAGTGATGCTCAGATTGGCAGAGCCTACATCGTGTTATCCACTCCCCCGCATCCTCTGTAACAGTCAGGTCAAAGTCAGTTTGCTCGAAGAGCCATTTGACCACCTATACTGTCTAATCTCCTGTCAATCCTTCCCAGACACTATCCTTGTATGCTCTGATCACAGTAGCATTGCTATGAATGCAGCAGGATGCTCAAATGAGGTACGAGAATCTCAAGCGCAATAGTTCCTGTATTACCAAGGTATTGGTCCCGCGCTCGTTCCTATGGTTGGGCCTTTCTTCTGGCTTCAAACGCCTGCTGTAGCATGATATCTTCGTAGTCCTAATTTTAGCATCGCATGTTAGCATCGAAGTCGTATCAAACTCAGTATCACTTTGAACTGTAGACTAGAGTAGCCATTCACTCTGCAAACTCACTGAGAGGAGCCTTGCTTGTATCAAGAGCAGGGATGACGGGTTGATCAACTTCGGCCTAAGCGATTATTGAGGTAGGCAGCACCGGCAAGCACCACACAAACGGAGAATAGTAATGGAACAAGCGCTAGATCCCAGAGTACCTTATCGACAGGATCGGAATAAGTCTTGGAGATAAGTCATGGTGTGTGTGCCATGATAAGTGATTTGGAGTTGAATGATGGGAAAGGGAAGTCGTCGAAGGCGTTTGCGAGAGGCGGCTATCGTTTATGCTACATTCCAACCCCAGGCAAGCACACCGAGGCCAGAATCGAACCACCAGAGTCAATAGATCTGTGGTATTCTATATATATCTCCAAATACGCAGGTCTAGCAGAGTGAGCACTGTTGAATGATCCAGCCCACACTGCCACGAGATAGGACGGCTAGAATGCTACTTGCTCGACCGCAAGATGAGTACTCCAGATGTTGGCAGCGAAGACGAGCTTCTTCTCAACGCCGGCAGCTTTAGCGTCTCAACGGCTCTGGCTTCAAAGTGCCCCGGCGTGTTTCCGGCGTACTCCAAATACCAAGCTCATCAAGGTAATCTTGATAGCTTCTGCGACTGAACCAGGCCCTCTTCAGACGCGACACATTAGTACTGCAAGGCTATATACATTCAACACGAAGCAGAGCACAGCGCTTTACTTGAGTATGTATAAGAGCCAGAGCCCGCTTCATCGACTGCACCTTCGCAGCCATGATAGACATTCTCTGAATCGCAAACAGACTTAGTGGAACACCTTCCTGTAGGTCCGTATATTGATTCTCCCTTTCACAAAGCCTTAATATCGGCAGAATCAGAATTTCATGCCCTCATCCAGTAGCTTCCATTGTCTAGCAGTGCTTATCCTTTTCGTCAAAGGATATACAAACATAACCCGCCTGTTGTTGCGTTGGGAGGATAGATGCAGGCTCGCAGGATAATAAGAACCCAAGGGCGATGGTCTACCTAGTCAGTAAGCGAGTAAGATACGAGGAATTACGGACCAAAATCAGGAAGGAAAAGTCTTGAGACGTCACTCATATAAATCTACATACAGAATCTCTGAACTAACCGCCTATCTAGGTCGATTCATCCTAATACTCATATCCCTAACACGCACAAGGCGATAAACCATGGCATAGTTCTCGCACAAATCAAGACCGTAGCACTCAATAAAACAAGACTCCAAGGGAAGCAACTCTCCATTGTACACAATTCTCTCTCTCTCTCGAAATTATCCAAAAAAACCCCAACCCACCTCACACCATATACCAATACAGCCTTCACACACCACCCCTCCTCTAATCCAATCCCCAATCCCCAATGCCCAATCCACGAAGGACAAACCTACCACCCAAACACAAACCCAGATCAACAAAGTCAAGGACAATATCTTCTCCTGTATAGAAAACCCCTACGTCATCACTGCCCCGGCTCCGAAGGTCGACTCCAGGGTTCAACCTCCACCCTCTATATCCGAACGCAGACCCTACTGTACCACCAGCAAATCACCACCACCATCTCTACAAGACGACAACAAAGAAAAGGACACAAAGAAGTTGAACCCCTCGCATCCGAGATAACTCCCCAACTCTCGCATCCGAACCACCATTCCCATCCGAAAGTTGAACCCTTCGGCCGAAGTCCACGATGCGAGGGGATCGATCATACGGTTCGTTTGGCCGTTCGTTTACCCCAGGTCGATCTCCTCCGGCCATTCAGGAATGCAGCCAGCCCCTGAAACATTAAGTAAGGAGGGCTGGAACTCTACGATGACAACATGAACAGCGAAAGGGTTCGAGTCGGTTACATTTGGCAGCTCGGTTGGTTTGGATTGGTTGCTTGGGCTGGACTACTTCCTCGAAAATGAATGCAGGTGCTACGACGTCATCGTTCGTTCTCTTTGCTTTGCTTTGTTCCCTACGGTGCAGTAGAATCGCACGATCGCTTGCTTTTCTTCCCAAATCATCAGGGAAAGGATAAGACAGCCAGCGAATCTACTCGTCCTCGAGGCGAGCATCCCCTCCCTGCTCCATCCTCTCGTAGAGAAAAAAACCGAGAGAAGAAGAGGGTGATCCAACCGACCCGACAAGAGCCGACCCAAACAAGCAACAACAGCGCCCCCCAAACGTCCATCGCGCGTTGCGCTTAAATCAAGAGGCAGTAGCAGATAAGGTAGGTAGGGTCGGAGGTATGTAGAACCCTGCAGCCGAAGCCACCAGACCCCAAAACACCATGCCACCCAGCACCACCGTCCACTTACCTTCAAATCTAGCACAGCTCTAGAATTAGATGGTAAGGCTGTTGTAGAGTAAGTTAGACCTCCGTTCTAGAGTAGTAACTTACTTCTCCTCATTTCTCCATTGGATTCCAATCCCTGTCTAGCAGGATCAAATCAAGAGGAAAGAAAGAAGATGGCATGATCATTTCCCTCCCGTCTTGGGTCGTGAACCGAAAGGATTATTCGGCGGTTAGGTAAGGTATAAAGATAATAGGGGAAAGGATAACGGCGGAAGACTCCAGTCGAATTAGTTGGTATACAGTCAGTAGCTTCTCGGGATCTGGAACAATACAATAGTTCAGCAGAGAGCGAGGGGCAAGAAATTAATCCAAATCCCGATGCAGCGGGCTATCATGACCGCCCAGCAAGCATGTCGGGGTTATCTTCGCATGGCGATCTGTACTGTATAGAGTGAATGCAGAAGGGGGGTTGAGGGCGATTAGATCTCATCCTCGGGTTTTATTCATCAATGTACATTTCTTTTGGTGGGGACGTACCTACTTTGAACAAACAGCCTAGGGATAATTCTATATAGAAATCTATAAACAGGACGCCTGCAAGAAAACAAACAATAGTCTATCTGTTCTATCTCCACCACAAAAGCCATCATCTCGGGCCCATTTACCCAAACTTTAAAAAGATTCCAGGTCCTGGTCCAGGTTCCAGTTCAATGAATCTGGGAATTTCAGATCAGGCCAGACAGAATTCTCGGAGCCGAAGGAACAAATCACTGAGCCTCTTACCTCCGAGGCCGAAGAGTTCTTTTCTCTAGCAGAAGAAACTCGACCCCGCGGAGATTATCACCGTGCAACACAACCGTGCAACAAAATGGAGGGAGGGGAGGAAGAGCACTAAGTCAATGCAGTCTAGACTTGATGGACTAAAGTGTAGTTGGGTCGACCGTTAGAACTTGGAAACGCCGCTCCTCTCGCCCTCTCTTTCTCTCCCTCTCGGTCGGTCTTATCGCCGGATGTCTCCGAAGAGTGCGCGCTTCGGCCGGTAAGGAAACGGACTCAGTTGTATGGCACGTGGGAAATAGAGGAAAATGGCTTGTCTCCGCAGCCGAAAATGATGGGGACAGGGCCGTCTGGCCCTCATCCATCGTCGTCATGGCATGGCGCGCTCCTATCGGGTCAAGGCCACCATCGTCATCTCGTGTACAGTACACACGCGTTAAAATGCCTCAGCCCTTAAGCCTCCGGCCGGATCGCCTCATGCGGACGTTGAACCCGTTGTCGTGGGACTGCACTAAAGTTTGGGTAGATTGCTGACCGTGTAATGGATGACCTTTCTCCCTCCCGCCAAAAAGGGGAGGGCTGCAACCATCATGCAGACTACAGCAAATGTGATGAAGATCCAAGAATGGAATCATCAACAACAACTGGCTACATTATTGCTCGCGATGCCATCCATTCCTCCTTTTCGGGATGAGACATCGGGCGATCTTTTTCTGCTCCTTATTCGGCCGAAGCGGTTAATACTCGGCCGATCAGAGGCTGCCTAAACCCGGATCCGTACTCGAAACAAAGGACAAGGGGCCAAGGGTTGGAAGAGAAAAAAGTAAATCGACGAAAAAGCACAATGCGAATGTCCAGAAAGCGGAACGAACCGAAGAGAGGGGGCTCACGCACGCCCTCCCGGGAAAACACTCGTGACTGGGGGGCTATCTTCAATTACTACAAGTATCCGCCGATGCCCGGCTTTCTCCTCCCTCCCTCCTCCCTAGTCTCCTCCTCGGCTCCTCTTCTTCTGCAAGTGGCGGACCCTCTCCGAGATAGTACCCCAGGTTCTAGCCAGGAAGGATGGCACAGAGCCCTCTGGACCGGCCGACCGCCATCCCCACTTTGCAACCTCATCAAGGGCTTCAATTCCTGAGATGGAAGAGGGAGCGACGTGGAGAGCACAAAGGCGTCCTGGGTCTGTGATCGAAAGATAGTGGTGGTCAGCATCGGTGGATTCTCAGATTCACCGATCGCTCTCCCACGGTGGGAGCGCCTTTATTACGGGGATCGTCCGCAAGGACAGATCATGGGCAATGGCGCCACGGCTGGGGAGTTCAGCCTATGTTACTCGGGACCCTTATAAATCTCGCGTAGCAGCCCAGTTGGTTCAAGCACTCCCAGTACCCATGCTGGGGAAAAGCATTACATCCGAGACGCGATTAAGAATGTTATCAATATGTCCATCCTCAGGAGACACGCTATAATTCGGGGGATACGGAGCCCCAACGGGGCCAAAGCCTGCGGGCGATGGTGAAGTGAACACCATGGCAGGAGACAGATTTGGGGTGGTCGCAACAGTCTCTGGGACCGATAGCTTGTCTTGCTTCTTGCTGCGCGCACGGAAGGCGGCACTGACTTCGCGCAAGGCACGGAGCGATGAGGAAAGGTGTTTGGCGGAGTCGGTGCGACTGTTTCGATCGGCTTCGCCATCGCCATGCACATGATCGGTCAACACCGCTTCCAATTTCTGTATCAGATCCCATGTGTGCGGGTGGAGTCGCTCATTGTTATTGGCCACCAAGAGAAATGCTGACGCGATCGTCCGTTGCAGGCTGATCCAGGTGCGCGATGCATGCACGTTAATCGAATGCAGCTCGATGAATGCCTGTATCGTGTTGCTCAGGTTGTTCAAGCAGTCCTCCTTGATAATCTCTCGCCGCTGCTCATCAAGGTGTGCGTCTGGATCCAACGACACCCGACACATGAGCGATATGAAATATGACGAATGCAGCCGCAGCTCGGTCCGTTCGATATGCTCCGCGAGAGTGGTGCAGCGTTCCTGGAATCGCAAGTGCGGTGCCGCCTCGGCGAGGATCCGTTCAATGCGTTGCTTATAATCTCGAATTTCATGGAACCGCAGGTGGCAATGATGGGTGAACATGAGACCTCGCAGCATCTCGAGGACAACGGAAATGATGCGACACAGCGTCTCAAAGTATCCTCGGTGGCCCGGCATCGATTTGGGATCGTACGGAATCTCGGGCTGGCTGATCATGGTAATGGAAGGCCGATCGTACGCCAGGGAAAAATGGCTGTTCTGAAAAGCCATCGCCCACCTGGTTGCGTCGGTAAGTATCACAACTTTCTTCGCAGAATAGCATCCAGGCCTTACCAGACTCTCCTCCGCGCCGCTTGCACGTGTCGTGCATAACCCGACGTCTCGACATGCAAACCCAGCACCATACACATACGCTCGGTCATTCCTTCGAACCACAGTCAGCTCCGTCGAGATGTCGTAACAGCAAGAACAACACTTACCAAGCAATGTGTACGATGCTCCTGCGTTCATGTTATAGGACAAGACGCTGCCAATGACCAGCAGGATTTGGATGATTTCTACGGTCGGCTGAGATACATAGTTCAACATGCGCAAACAATGATAAGCACATGATACTAGCAGTCGGTTAGCCTTGCCACAGCAAATCAAGGAACCCTGTACGTACCATATACCCATGAGGTCAACTCCCGTTCCTTGCCTGGCAAATCGGACAATTGGCAGCCCGAAGCCAGAACCGCAAAGAGAAGGCTCAGGAAGGATACACTCATGCCAAATGGTTTGACTAGACCGTTAGCATCCGGTCGATACACACCACCGGCAGCTTGTCGGCCTTTCAGCAGTCGTTCCATGTTCTCCTCCAGTCTCGAGATATCTGGCAGCACAGGATACAGCACGGAACCAACTTCTGTATAGAACTTCAACAGCCTGCAGCCAGCCGAACGGGTCAGTCGCTCGAATCAAAGATACGGATCGCAAGGGCCATGGACTTACTTTCGACACTGTTCGTCATCAGGCAGTACGTTACATACACCGGCAATGTTGAATGTATAAGGGTCCGACGACCAAAGATCTACGAACGGATAAGCGGCGGACTCGTTGCCCAAGGCTAGTTCCGCAAGAAGGTCTTCCTTTGGCAGCGCCTGTGCCGTATCCTCCGAGTTCTTCGATTTGTCCAAAATGTCGATCAATGCCGATCGCGACCCAATATGGACGGAGCCGGTCTTCAATGTAGTTGAGCCATAAATGCCTTCCGACGGGGTTGAGACTTCTTCCTCCGACGGCGACACGTCCGATTGGGGATCGGTAGCTTTCCGCGCCCCGTGAGTCTGGAACAAGGAGTCCAAACTGACCAGAATCTCCTCCATAGTCCGCATCTTAGTATTTATCTCGTCCCATTCCGATTGAGACAGAGTCACAACGTCCGATAGACCATCTTGGGTGGTCGACCCGATCGATCCGGGATCGGGGCCGTAGGGAGCATCGCGACCGGACGAATGATGCGACTGCGGAGGTAGGAATGGAGGTGTGGTGGTTGTTGAGGCGGTCGCGGAGGCGTATTGGTCGGCGAGGAGCGATCCGGGTCTAGGCGCTGAGGGAGGAGGACGACCGTAGGAACAGGTGAAGTTGCGCTTAACACAGTTTCCGCATGGCACATTGCGATCACAGCGAACCTTGCTCGCCCGACATGGAAGGCAAGTTTTACATTCGCGAGGCCGACGGCGGATGGGGTACGTAGGCATTGCGGTTAATGGCACGCGTTCGCTCACACACCCCACTACTCGACAGGGTAGCCGGGCGGACGTCAGAGGCGGATGAATGGACGAGGATGAGCAGGCGAACTTCTAGTCTGTGCAACGGTGACGGGATAGGCACTCATCAAGCATATGATATTTGGCCAAAGATTAAAGATGCGGAGAGGGATAGCAGGCCAAGAAGTCCGGAGCTGAGGAAAGTGTTGGTGTCGAGGGAGGAAAGAGAACGACGGCGTGCTATTCGCGAGGCAGCTGATAGCGAATGGATTCGAATGGGAAAAGGGAGGGCCGAGGTGTCGGCAAGCGAACGCGACAGAGATAGCGTTGAGCTGGGCAGGGAAAATTCCGCACCGGGGGAGGGGGGGAAGAGAAAGAGGCCAAGGCACAGCCAGTCAATGGCGTTAAACCCGGCACAACCAAGGCTGGGGTGACATGTTAGAAGCAGGCGAGGTATCGTCTGGGAGTAAGGGTGAAAATAAGACGGGGTGATGTTGGTGGATAAATGGACAATCTTCAGATCGATGCAGGAGCCGATCTCTTTTTGGGGATGAGGGGGTGGAAGAGAGACCCGGGGAAGGAATGATGGAAGAATAGTAGGCAGGTAACCAGCAGGCAAGCTGGAGGGGAAAGACGATTGATCAGTCAGGAATAATTGCAGTAACTACCTTCAGTCGATATATGTGATTAGTTCACTAATAATACTCAGCTAACTAGTGCAAGGGTTTCCCCACTAGTTTTCGCTAGTAATAAACTTGGGAGAGAAAGGGAAGAGTAAGTAGAGTAAGTAGTAGTGGTAGTCGGTAAATAGAGCGCGAAAGAGAGACAGAAAAGAGAGACGCGGAATGAATGAAGAGAGAGACACACACACAAGACAGACAGACAGCATTGTACGGATACGGGAAGTAATCAATGCAACCCGGGTTGGCTGGCCAATTTCGGGTTTAGCGGCGACCCATCCATATCCATAATTCTTGTAAGGCATCCGAGATGGCGTGGTAAGTCCATGGCTTGGCTGGCTTCATTCTCCAATTCTCCCCGAACTTTGGACTGTTGGCCTGACCTTCTGTGACAGCTTATAACATCTGCAATCCTCTCTTCTCACCACTGTATTCCTCGTGTCCAGCGCTTGTGGTGCCCTTCTTTTATTTGGTGGGTTTGCCACTTCACCCCAAACCGTCAGGGAGTACTGGACTCCTAGCTATGTCAACCTTGCATGGTCCTCCCATCCCCACAGCTATATTATAGGCATGGATCAGACGCGGGATCCTATATTCATCTCACTGCTAAGATCGTCCCAACACATTCAAGCATAGATAGCTTACTTAGTTTAAATTGACTAACCAAGCCATAATCAAGCCTAGGGTCGAGCTAGCGGGGTGATTGCTGCTTAGAATTCATCCCGGTTGCTGTCAGGGTTCAATTCTGCGGGGCTAAACAAATTTAGCGAATACAGGGTGAAGAAGTTTCGAGATGGGATAGTCTACAAGAAGTCAAGAACAGACACGGGACTGAAGATGGGTTGTTGGGGAGGGAGGATGGGGGAGGGCGCGATGCAAGCAAATCAGCTGATCGCAGTCATGGTTTGATCGAGGGGGTAAATCGGTACTTATAAGGAGCAGTGTGGTATTTGTTCATCGTTTTGCCCTTAAGCAGTACTGAAGGTGTATCAATGGCTTGTCGCAGACTCTAAAACGATCATCAAGGGAGAAATGTTCCTGGAATGTTCTATGGTATTCTATCCCGAATCTCGTATCCAAGTTCTATGGTCGCTGCCAATCCCGCCAGTTCCTGCTCAACACCACCGCTTGCACGTTATGCTTAAATTGACTGCTGATTACATGACTTCATGATGCATCAAATTGCCCCACATAAAGCTTGCCCTGGATCAGACAGCAAATAAGAAGAGCGAAAATATCTGACGCTCGCTCACTCGCCCGTGGTTACTGTCTCCAGGTTCGGTTTACAGGTCAGGTCGTTTGAAAGTCGAGACAAAGAAATGGATAGATCGACACGCAAAAACCGACTATTCACAGCATCTCAACCTGAGACAGTCTAAACCCTGCAGAGTGGGGTTTCAGATCAAGCAGATCGGGCCTCTCGGGACGCATGGCGGACAAGGACGATCCTGGTTGGAAGATGCGGTTCCGTCACGTCTTGGAAACACCCGTCGTGGTCGCTGGGGAGACCTGTGGTACAACCCACCAGTCGTGCCAACGAGCTTTGGACCCGACCTCCGGGATAGCCACCCGAAGATGAACCGGTTGAAATGATTGAGGCTCTCCTTCGCGTTTTCTCGATTCCGCCTGTGCTCTCAAGGCTTTTTTGACGGTTTCAATCGCAATACTTGCACCGATACAGGCCCGCATCGTGTCTTTAATGTCACGCTTCCAGTCGTCTTCGATGGCAAGAGCGGGACTATGCTTCTCATCAGAGTCGTGGATAAACGCACCGTTGGCCAGCGTGGCTTCCCAAGCCTTTCGCGCTTCGGAAATGGCTTTCGTGGCACGCTCCAAGACGGTATCATCGCTGTCGCCTTCGAGTATCGCTTCCCGACGGTATTCGTCGTAAGGAACCAGTTCCGGCAAGGCGATCTGGAGAAAAGGTTTCATGCGGATTTCGTACCTTAACCGGTCGCTGGAATAGGCCTGGGCTGAAGACGTGGTTGGCAGGATGCAATGGCGAGCGAGAAGGACGTATAGAGCGTGTAATGATATCGCAAACGCATCAACGGCAACGATCTGTGTGGTCAACCTCTCAAGAAGTCGAATGGATCGTTGCAGCACCGTATGGCGCTCAAAGGCACCACGCTTCTTGGCAGCCAAGTCGGTAAGGTTGCGTTTCGCAGTGGCCACCGTAAATGTACGAATTCGGTCAATATGGCCAAGATGTGTAGAACAGATATGGGACAAGTACCAATACATTCCAGGTAGCTCTTCAGGCGAGTATATGGAAAGCTCAAATCCTAGCTGCAGGATCAAGCGGAATTGGCTTAGTTTATGATGGTATGCCCAGCTGCTGAGGGGGTAAGAGTATGTGGTGTCGCCGTTGGCTAGTTTCAATGGGGGCTCGTTGCTCAATGCGCGAAGCTGCTCGTCAAGATCTTCCGCCTAAGAAACTCAATTAGACTCTGGTCTTTGCGGTAGGGGCAGCTCTAGACTCACTTCCATCTGCAAATTGTCCCAGTCAACTAATGTATGACAGACGGTCCGTCGGATACGACAGCGGTTCAAACAGGCGCTTCTGAATGTATCAACGAAAGGCTATAGGCCAAGTCAGGTCAGGGTGTGTCTCAAGGCTATGATGCAATATAAGAACCCCGACTCACCTGAGAGAATCTTTTGGTGAAAACATCCATGTGTTGTGCGATTTGAAAGCGCGGGTCCGAAGGCACCTCAATTTCGTCTGCGCTGGCCTGCAGGAGTATACTTGATGGAAGAACAATCTGTTCAAGTTCATCATAGAGGAACTGCTTTGCAGGGACTGCTCCAAGTATGGTCCTGTTGCTCACGATGAGGGATTGGACAAGAGATCGTATGTAGACAGAAGGCTGAGGCTTTCGTGATAACAAAGTCCATATTAACACCTAAGCAGGTAAGCACCCACCTAACGTCACAGGGATAAAACATATCCTCCGTACCTTCAAGTTATAGGGCCCTCGGTAATCAAGGATCTCCAGGAGATCGACTGCATCCTGGCATAATCTTTTCAGATGCGCCAGCGCATCCTCAAAGCTGATCTTCACCATCGGGCGAGGAGGAACAGTGCTAGCCAGTTTCCGTTGGATCTTCCAGCTGAAGGATTCGGGGACTTCTCTCCCTAGGACAGTTGACTCGCTCAAAAAGTCCAAATGAGATAGACAATTCCGAAACTGCTCTGCGAACCGTGTCTCAATGACTTCAATATCCTGTTCCAGCCCCCAGAGAAACTCGCGCCGAAAGAGCAAGCGAGCTTTAATGGCTTTCGCCACCTTTTCACTAACTATACCCGTCTGTTCGTCAATCCAACGTACTGCACGGTCAAGAAGATCATAAAACTGTTTAGAGTCGAACTGTGACAGAAGAGTGCGATTATACAACTGTGTGACGAAGTCCTCCTCCTAAAAGTCAAGCAATGAGTCAGATTCGTGCACACCCAGCAAGTCATGCTAACGCCTACCTCAAAATAGTATTCGGTGGTAACTCGCGCATGGACAAAATCGCAGGACTTCACAAGTGCGAGGCAGTAAGCACGTAGCACTGTATGCACTATTTCAGGAACCTCTTGATTGATTTGCGACTGTCCGCGGAGAAAATGAGCATCTTCGAGGGTTTTAGGTACGGGCCATAGGAGCCTGTCAAGGTATAAAGATGTGAAAAGGGTCTGAGAGAGAGGATGCCCCATATGCCATGCCATCTATAATTGAATAATCTCAGTCAGTATGTGTAGGTCCCATGAGATAGCCATAACCAGGGACACCTACTTCATGGCACAGCAACTCGTCCATGATACCCAACACCTCCTCCGGAGCCAGCTCCCGCATCAAGTCGTAGTCGTCTTCCAGGGCTTGCGCGTTGGTTTCCCCTGGGCCTAGGTATCCGCTATCCATCTTCGAATCCATGATCTAAGAAGCGATGTCAGATAAGTCATCGTGTTTCGTGGTTTCAACTAATGAGCGTGACCGGGAAATTGAGTCGCGACAAACCTCGAGCGCACCAACGGCCTCAAAGAGTGTAAAATACTCATCTTTGACCAGCTGACCGGTTCGGAGCTCTGGTAATCGGAGGACAAAAGTAGTCAGTACATGATGCACAGAAGTGAGAGAATAAGGTCAAGGGGAGGAAGTGCTAACTCGAGGCAGCAGTTGTGAAGTCATCCGTAATGTCGCGCGGGACAGCAGACTGTGTAACGGCCCGCATTGTCGAGACTCGTACTTCGTTATTTGGCAGCATAGAGGTAGAATATCATCTGCAGCCCGCTGCGAGACTTCGAAGCCGATCATGAATAGTGCGTTGAATCCGGTGGAGATCAGAGAAGAAGCTGGAGAGCGGGCGAGGGGAGGCGGGGAGTCGGGCGGACAGGGCAAAACTTGCGGGAACGCAAGCCCGCGCCGGTCGAGCAAGAGGGAGTTCCGAAGAAGCTCAAGAAAGCCCATGCTACAGGAAGCGAACCCAGAGCATTACGTTTAGCATAGCAAAAAATTTTACTTTGACCAACCATGATAGCAGGAGGGACACAGTCATTTCTATTTATACCTGGTCAACGGGCCAATATTGCTACAGAGATCCAGTCCATTCCTGCATCAGAGTACCCCTCGAGGTCTTATCAGCTTCCTCCTATCGCCCATTCTTCGTATTCAGACGGTCGTTCTTGCGGACTAAATCGTTTATTTTGACTCGGCCTGGCCAGCGGTGGCCTGGGCCTGAGCAAGGGACTTGACCTCGCCCTGCTTGCCGTTCTGTGTCGGAGAGATGTAAGTTAGTCGGATGCTCCTGAGCCATTGCACTTCGATCTACACTGGATAGGCGTCCGGATACGAACCTCCCACTTAGCAAAACGCAAGTCCATCTGACCACGGCGCTCGGCGTTAGCACGAGGGCCGTCCTTGAGGGAGCGGCGGACGGCGCGAGCGGCGACGGCCAAGTAGCGGTTGTAGCTGTAAAAGTCGGTTATCGCGTCAGTCAAGGTGCATGGTCGGAAATCAAGTGATGATTGAGTAGAGTGGAACGTACCTAAGACCAGCGGACTTCCAGGCGAATGCCATTTTGACGGTAGGAGACAAATGAAGAGGTTCGGTTTAGGAGAGGGTATCACTTTCTCTGTGATGCTTTGCAGACGGTCGAGTTCGGAGGTTCGGGAACTCAGCTCACGTGATTCACGTGACACATAGATCACCTGACAGCATCCGGGGTTGGTTGGAGTGGCCCGGCCCGGGTGAGTCTATACTTCCTAATCGGGTAATGCCACCTTTCAGCCTCCCTGAGCCTAGTCATACCTATACTTCCTACCACGAACTTCGTAGTAGGTGTCCCAAGCCTTGGATATGCGACAAACGAGCACGCCGGTCTGTGGTCGGAGCAAGACAAGATTGGATATTCATAGAAGCTTTCTCCCTAATCGCCTGAAAGAACTTCTTCTGCTGCATTTGAAGAATCGATCGTTAGCCTAGCTGGGCCAGCATTCGCTGCGCAATCAATGCAGGCGGGAGCAAATATCTCCATAGAATAGTATTCTTGAACCCTCCAACATTATCTGGCACACTTATGGCATCTCCTGAGTCCTTCGGGGATACCTTCATCTATGAATCTGATTTATCTAGAGCTCTGGAAACTTCAATGCAAGATACTCGAGGGTGATGTAGGAAAGTAGGCTAGGAGATGTTTTTACCTTGTTATATTAGCAGAGTCTCAGCAATGCAGCTTCCCACAGCATTTGAAGATATAGTAACAGAGTAGGTTTTCTTTTTTGATTTCTTGCTTATATACTATGCCTGCTCTAGAAAGAGAGTATTCACTGACTTATTCTCTGTTATAGATCTGAGCAGGTGAGTCCTCATAGATCACGATCAACTCGTTGTCGTCTGACCGCACATGTGGGTAGCCAGCTGTGTGTTCCTGTCTGTGTGTTCCTGTGGAGACTCTGATATTCACTACTTTGCGTGTTTGTTAAACTTGTGATCTTTCGTAAGGTCCTCTGTTTTGTTGGTGAGCTTCCACACGTACCAGCTCTCTTTACCTTACTTTACCTTCTTCTCTCATCTCGTTCACAGTCGCGTCCCTCTTTGTTCTTACAGGTACAGCATTCGTGAGTCAACTTTTCCAGGCTTCCGTTACTATGAATTACCTTCGCGTCGCTCTTGACGTGACTGAGACTTTTATCTCACAGGCGCACCTCACCATTCTGAGAGATAGCTGACGTGATTCTCACGCATATATCAAGCCATCGAACGAAATCAAACCATATTCTTGACTGAATTGAGACTCCAGGGCTAGCTTTCTGATTTGCTTGTGTATTCAGCTTGAGTGAAACCGTACTTTGAATGCTCGCAGAAGGTACAATGAGTTCTTCTCGCAAACCATCGAACCGGCCTAAGAAGCGAGTTCTGGTACGATGGGATGGTATACCAACCTATTTCTTTTCACTTCGATTACTCATCTTTCTACTAAACCTTAAGCTAATAAGTGAAGAAAATCTGAACGAACTTCTCCTCCTGACGGTACAGTCCGTTTGCAACGTTCAAACCGTGAAGATCCCATGGGCCGATGTCGCCAGCACCATGGGCCACAATGTTACTGAGGGCGCTATCGTTCAGCATTTGGCAAAGCTTCGAAGCCGTAGGGTCGCTGCTGGCAAGCCTGTGCCGCCGCCTCTACGGCGTGGCGGCCTTGGTGTCTCGAACAAGTTGAATGAAGTGCCATCTTGGAGAAACTGGGATGGGCCAGATGTCAACCATCAGCGGGCCCTCGCTAACCCAAAGCGCGGAAGTGAGCCGGGGCCCAGTGACTTTGCAGACGTCGACTCGTCTTCGGATGAGGACTATGTGGAAGGAAGTGCATCCAAGTCACGCAAGAAAAGGGCCAAGACACCTGGCTCGCGGGCACGACGTAAGCGAAAGCCCATTGTGAAATTGGAAAGCGAACCCCCTGAGCTTGAGTCGGACGCAGAGGAAGTCGATAATCTGTTGGTTCCTGGTGCGGAGTTTCTCGATTGCCCTACAGCTACGACTTCATCCTATGAGCATCGAATGGAAAGCCCCGGAGACGATCAAACCAGGAAAGTAGTTGTCCTCAAGTATTCCCGATCCATAAATCAAGCTTCTACTGGTGACGTTCCAGAGCCTGGTGTGAATACAATTTCTAACGACGCTTTTATCGCGTCAGGCTATGCCTATCATCGCCAACCTGCGGGTACTGTCCAGTTTCCGATCCAAGTCCAAGCCCCTGTGGCCGATCTCCCTGGTGTTTTCTATATGGATCCTGCATCATCAGGCACTTCATTTATGGATACACAGCATTTTGACTCAAATCACAGCCTCGTGGCTCCCTGGCTCACTGATACTGCTATTGGGGATCGTGGTGCCGGTTGTCACGGGCTTTCTAGTACCGACATGGAGATCGATTTCTCGAATCATGAGAGTAAAGACTACGACCAATGGGATACTACTTTGCTTGGCTATGACCATGACCTCCTTGGCTAGCTTTCATTGCTTCAGGTCACGCGCCTTGGTGCGCCAGAACTCGAATGTCTGTTATTGCAGCACGACTTGGTCTCTTTCCTGTTTCAATTTTCTAGCGTTCATTTTCATCGTATTTGGCGATTGTCCCTGGTGGCCGTCTTCTTTGCCGGTGATATGCCTGTTGCAACTGATTTGATTCATGTCTTACAGGGAGCATCTGGTTGACTTTTATTTTGAATTGCTTCGTTTCTTTGCACCAGCACTATAGGGCATCGCTGCTTTTTTTCCGGCTCTCTCAGGACTCTGCATTTGTTGTTATCGTCTGATCACCATACGGCAACTTTCGCCTCATTCTGATTTTGTCTCCTCCTATGAGGTGGGCATAAAGCCATTCCAAAAGTAATTTCTTCTAGTTAATGGAATACGAGCATGACCAACGCAAGATACAGCTTCGTAGATTGAATGTATTGTAGAATGTGGGAAGGCCGACATTCGGGGGTGTGCTGCCACTTACTTCCGACCAGCCGAGCGAAATCCCTCGGATACCCGGCCCCACGTGACCTTCTAGGAGCTTCTGCCAGCCAAGACAATCCGGGGATCGAGAACCGCCTGGAAAATTTTCGAGACTTTGGCTTCATCTCCATCTCCATCATCTCCCCATCCTCCTTCTTTCCCTCTCTTCTTCTTCTTCTTCTTCCTCTCTACCCGTCCTTGCTCTGAGAGTTGTGATCGGGCAGACTCCGTTTGATTGACCTAATTACCCTCTTCTGTCTGTTTCTGTCTTCTATCCTTCACACCCCCTTCCTCAAGATGCAGAGAGCTCTCGGTTCCAGGACCTCTGTCCTTTCCGCTGCTTCTAAGCGCGCTCCCCTTTACAGATCTTCCGGCGTTAACCTGCAACAGCAGCGTTTCGCCCACAAGGTATGTTTTTCTTGCCTCAACGAGATGCCAATCCGGGCATTCCGATGACTCGAGTCCACGGCCGTGCTAACTTCGTCTAGGAGCTCAAGTTCGGCGTTGAGGCTCGTGCCCAGCTCCTCAAGGGTGTTGACACCCTTGCCAAGGCTGTCACCTCCACCCTTGGTCCTAAGGGTCGCAATGTCTTGATTGAGTCTCCTTACGGCTCTCCCAAGATCACCAAGGGTAAGCTACCACTCCCAACAGTTTCAGTATAACCTTGTACTGACGTTTTTAGACGGTGTGAGCGTTGCCAAGGCCATCACCCTTCAGGACAAGTTCGAGAACCTCGGTGCCCGTCTCCTCCAGGATGTTGCTTCCAAGACCAACGAGCTTGCTGGTGACGGTACCACCACCGCCACCGTCCTCGCCCGTGCTATCTTCTCCGAGACCGTCAAGAACGTCGCCGCTGGCTGCAACCCCATGGATCTCCGCCGCGGTATCCAAGCTGCCGTCGAAGCTGTCGTTGACTACCTTCAGCAGAACAAGCGTGACATTACCACCGGTGAGGAGATTGCCCAGGTCGCCACCATCTCCGCCAACGGCGATACCCACGTCGGCAAGCTTATTTCCACTGCCATGGAGAGAGTTGGCAAGGAGGGTGTCATCACCGTGAAGGAGGGCAAGACCCTTGAGGACGAGCTTGAGATCACCGAGGGCATGCGCTTCGACCGCGGTTTCACCTCCCCCTACTTCATCACCGACACCAAGGCCCAGAAGGTCGAGTTCGAGAAGCCCCTGATTCTGCTCTCCGAGAAGAAGATCTCCGCTGTCCAGGACATCATCCCTGCCCTTGAGGCCTCCACCACCCTTCGCCGCCCCCTCGTCATCATTGCTGAGGACATCGAGGGTGAGGCTCTCGCTGTCTGCATCCTGAACAAGCTCCGTGGTCAGCTTCAGGTTGCTGCCGTCAAGGCCCCTGGCTTCGGCGACAACCGCAAGAGCATTCTCGGTGACTTGGCCGTTCTCACCAACGGTACCGTCTTCACCGACGAGCTTGACATCAAGCTCGAGAAGCTCACCCCCGACATGCTCGGATCCACTGGTTCCATCACCATCACCAAGGAGGACACCATCATCCTCAACGGCGAGGGCAGTAAGGACAACATCGCCCAGCGCTGCGAGCAGATCCGTGGCGTCATGGCCGACCCCGGTACCTCCGAGTACGAGAAGGAGAAGCTCCAGGAGCGTCTCGCTAAGCTCTCCGGCGGTGTTGCCGTCATTAAGGTCGGTGGTGCCTCCGAGGTTGAGGTCGGTGAAAAGAAGGACCGTGTCGTCGACGCCCTGAACGCCACCCGTGCTGCCGTTGAGCAGGGTATCCTTCCCGGAGGTGGTACCGCCCTCCTCAAGGCCTCTGCTAACGGCCTGGACAACGTCAAGACCGCCAACTTCGACCAGCAGCTCGGTGTCAGCATCATCAAGAACGCTATCACCCGCCCTGCTCGCACCATCGTCGAGAACGCCGGGCTCGAGGGTAGCGTCATCGTTGGCAAGCTCACCGACGAGTTCGCCAAGGACTTCAACCGTGGTTTCGACAGCTCCAAGGGCGAGTACGTTGACATGATCGCCACTGGTATCGTCGATCCCCTCAAGGTCGTCCGCACCTCTCTGGTTGACGCCAGTGGTGTCGCCTCCCTCCTCGGTACCACTGAGGTTGCCATTGTTGAGGCCCCTGAGGAGAAGGGCCCCGCCGGACCCCCCGGTGGCATGGGTGGTATGGGTGGTATGGGCGGCATGGGCGGTGGCATGTTCTAAGCTGCTCCCACCGCTTCTGCTACTCCTTCAATCTAACCCCCACCTTCCGCCCTTGTTTCTGAACGATTTTTCCTTCAAGCGTGTTGTTGCATAGTCCGGGTTATATCCTGATATATGAATTTTTCCATTTTCTGTTTTCTTAATGTGTCGCATGTCTCTTGCCAAACCTCTTGCTATCTTACATCCGATCTTAACCTTCTTCTCCCTTCCACCTTTTCTTCAGTGTTCGGATCGAATTTCTACTCTCACCCCCTCTCCACTCCGCTATTTTGGGCACACAAAAGTCTCACGGAGTCCAGTGTACCATACCATGTACTTTATGTGTAAACCCCACGGCCGTTAGCTCTATCGTGGTGGTTGTACTTTCGAATCTACTTTAATCGTTCAAGGGAAACTATCTGATCACGTAACTCTATTTGTACACCTCTAGTAAGTAAAGAGTATTACATCAAAACTCCGCGTAGTATGATTATGCAAAAGGCCGCAGATGGCGTAGTGGTAGGACGCTGTCGGCTAGGCTTTACTGGATAATAGGATTAGGGCACTACCGCAATCTGAAGATTTCGGTTTGGATCCTGGTATAGCTGTCTATGGTGGATTCCTGGGAACTTGGCAACAGGTCTAAAATAGGATAAAATCTACTCGGTACTAGGAGGCGAGTGGCGTGAACAGTTATGTGTGAAGCTTTTATCATAGCCTGTATGAGTCTGGCAAGGTTCAAGGTCGGCTTTGAGATATATGCCTTAGTATTAGTACTCTTATATTGTGCTTTATGTGTTGTAAATGTTTGGTAGAAATAACGTTTTATTTAGACCTTTGAGAGGAAAAGTTCTTGAGATCCACGATAATGTAAAGCATATACAGTCTACAATCACTATATCTAGGTCCATGAAGTCCAGGCCGTGACCTGTGGTGAAAAAGGACACTACAGACCCTACGGTTCCTGATTTCCTGATTCGCGCCGGCGGCTGTCCTGCCAGTGTAGCTAGTTCTCCCACAGCCACGAATATCACCACCATCTCCACGTCTCTCAGGCTCGCCAATAAAGAGCAGCCGTTTGTCGGCAATTCGCTGAAGGCAAGTCAAGCGCCGCGATTGGTGCAGCTTATGCTAAGCTAACCACATCAATGTGCGCACAGTAGCTCCAAGGAAAAAGTGCAAGTATGGAATGGTGAGATATAGAGAATTGCCATGGCTCGTTGATAGACTTCGTCCGGGGTCCCCAGCTAGAGCACAGTGCTTGTGTCGTTGCAAGCTTTGTCGCTAGGCTCTTTGGTTGAAGTTAGAGGCCGTACGCTACGTTGACTACTTGCACCTGGCAGCGGGTAAAGGCTATCTGGGCAAGTGTCGTGCTTGCTTGGAGCGCAGGCGAATTGCAAATTGTCAAGGTTATGCCTGGAGCTACCACCATTTGAGGCACCCACACTGGTTCCAAAAGTTGCAGGCGTTGGCGAACCTTCTGCAACGGATTCGGGACCAGACGATGGCCTTTAGAAAGAATAGCCCACAGCACACAGGCAACGCGCGCGTCCCTTTGTTGAGTTCCGAGTGGATAAGGAAAGAATTCTGACTATCGGTGTTCGTTAGCTGCGATTGTCTAGAGATAGCATAGACCCGAACATGTCCGCCAATACTGCTGCAACTCACCGCATAGAGTCGACACTGGCGGCAAGTATAAATGCTTCATCATTATATATCTCGCCCCAAGAGATCCTAGTTTCCGAGCAGCCGTAAATAATGCACACTGCTCGGCCCCTTGTGTATCTGTAGATAAAGATTAAGTATAGGTTTCTTTCCCCTCGCCTGTGGGCATAAAATAATCATAGTCAAGTACAGTCCCGCAATTTCCAGACAATCCAAGATGCAAACAAGCCTGCCGTAGCTTGTCATCGAAAGTTGTATCCTTGGATACGGGATCGTGATTCAAGTGCATTGTCTGATTCCACAATTTTGGCAGCAAGCAAAGCATGAATATACTTGAATCATCATTATCGACCATCTCAAGCTGCTCTTCCCGGTGAAAGGAAATCGTCGGAGGGCGATCTTTGAAGTTTTGGAAAACTGCCCAGGCTGATTCGTACTGATGTAGGAGTCGACCCCTACGAATTTGCCAGCAGGAATCGGACCTTGGACGTAGTGCTTCTAGGAAAGGAAAGATGGAATTCAAGCTCGGCATCGAAAAGTCTAGCATAGTCAGCAATGGAGGTGAGGAAAGAGAAATGAAGAAACTGACAGTCCGGTCGATTGTGAATTTTCAATATAATCAACTCCAGCGATTTCTCGTCTTCATCGAGAGACTGCCAAAGTGCATCATCAACATTTTTCTCAGAACTCAGTTCGATCAGATGTGAACGTAAGTCTCGGACCGCGGCTCTACCCGCATATCAGTTAAGATCAAAGACCCTTGGATTTACCCCTTACCGGTCTCCAACGTGACACTCAACACGCCTACGCTCACCAGCTGCTATACGTTCCAACGGTCAGGGTTTGCCGGAATTCACCCTGAATGGTCTTTGATCGGAGAAGGTATATGATTCAGAGAAATCATATAAGACTGTGTCGTAAATATCACCGGGAAGTCGGAAATGATGGTCCTTGACATCTCCATGGGTCACTCCGAGCTTGTGTAAGGCATTCAAGCGGCGAAGTCGATCCCGAAGCAGGGAGCTATACCACTCGTGTTCGAATTGACTTAGCTGAAGGTTCCTTATAGTCTTTAGGAAGCTTTCAGGTAAGCTGGAATCGACTTCACCAAGAACACGTCGCGAGCCCAAGTGAGGTTTAACGGCTTCCAGTACAACAGCTCGAGGATGTGCGTATCCAGACGAAAATCGAGATCTTTCCATGTTGGTAACCACCCCATAGAATCTGGGAAAGTATAACCTTTCTCGACCCGGGCAAAATTTGTCAATGTGGCTATAAGCCCTAGCTTCGCGAAGGAATCTGTCGTATTGGTGCACAGCATCATCTATGCTTCTCGGGATCTCAACGAATTTTACTCCGAGGCGGTGAAGCTGCTCTATGACTTGTTCTCTGGTGAAGTCCGGAAACTAGACCATGGTCAGTCTGAAAGATTTCCGGTGTTATTCATTGACTCACAACTTTGCCTATGTATCTTCTGTGTCGGTTGCTCCGAAGCCAGAACACCTGGATACAGTGATTCTCTATTGGCCTTGATGTGTCAACCAGGTCGCTTAATTTCCAATCCTTATCCACTGGATTAAATGGAAGGAAATCTGTTTCGCGATTGAATTTTGTTTTCAAGAACCGGGGAGGGTTGCCAGAGAAGAATATATCTCTCCAGGTGATTTCTTCATTCATAATGAGCGTGGGAATGATCTCAACTAGACCGGATGGTGGAACATGTTTCCTGGTAGGTCGTCAGAACTAGAGAACTCCTTGGAACTGTTTCCTGGGTTATGAGGGCAATGTAGTCTTTTTATACCTGCAGTGGAATGTATCACATGGTACCAATCACGTTCTGGAATTCAAGTGCAGTAGTTATACAAGACGGGATTGTGAGCGGGGATCCCGGGGGAACTTCGCCCCTGGGCCGCACTTACCGCGCTCCCGCAGGCGGTGACAAAGGCGCTTCACAGAAGATGGTATAAATTGGTGCTCCACTGTCTCGCTCCTTCCATGTTAATTCCCCACATTTGCTCGTCTACTCTCTCCGTTTGCTCCCTCCATTTGCTCTCTCGACACACACTCTCTGCACTTTCATTTCTTGTTACTTATTCATGGGCCCAAGAAAACTTACTCTACGAACTCTTTCTTGTGAAGAGGCATAGGAAAAGATCCGGAGCATGAGAGATAGCCAGAAGCAGCATCATAAGCGAAATAGCAACAATCTATACAAAGAAATAGCATCTCTCTTACCCTGCCCCAAGGACGAATAGATGTCCACCGATTAACAGTAATTCATGTTTCCTGAGACTTCGCTCAACTTATTTGAATATTTAGGCTACCGCCTCATGTTTGTAACTACTCCGAAGGCGCAGAACCACCTGATTCAATATGACTGTCCGTAAAAGTACCAAATATCTCTTCCCAGCTGTTTGATAACATTGGCATTCTCGTTGATGGGCCAATCCTTCTGGTGAGTTTCGACGACATGACTGAAGCCGCAGATTCTCCTAGTCAAGCACCTATAGTTAATACCAATAGCAGAGACCGGTAGAGAAGAGTTTATCATACACTTGTAGACCATCTCTTTGGAGAATGACTCTATCAGGGTCGCCTTCGGTGTACGCCCATCCGATTGGCCTTAGGTCCCTATCAGGGCCCTTCAGTATTAGCAACGCTAGTCCCATGAGCATGGAGGGTCTGTTCGGGGGAGAGCGTGGGCTGGGAAAGGAAGCAAAGGGCAAATGACTAGGTCGAACTAGGTATTTCTTACCTGACAATTGTTAAGACTTGGGTTCGAATATGTTCCACCTCCCACGTATCAAGCTGGCCGTAATAAAAGTTCAACGGATAGCCTGGTAGCCGAGTCATAACTACAACATCTAGTTCGCCCCCGGGATATTCGAATCGCTGGTCCTGTGCCACCTCTCTGCTGCTGCGCTCAAGAAAATGAGGGACGCCCTTCACATCGCTACATTCCCTGAGAGCTCGGATCTCTCTTTCGATGGCTGTGCGTTCTAGTCCGCGATAAATGCCTCGGTTTGGCTGCAGACAGGCGAAAGCGGGGTGCAGTCTGAGTTTAACGACAGTGTCTCATAATTAGCTTTATGCTGATGAACCCTTTCTTCATACATAAGAGACAAGGAAGTGCGTGGAGCTATACTCAATAAAGGACTTGACGATAACCTTAAGCCTGTTAGAAATTTTCTTCGCTTCAAAGACGCTCCATCGCAGGTTCAAATCCATATCCAGGTCTTCACCAATTTGGCGGACCAGCTCGTAGCCATTGGTGCCAATGAGATAGACCTCTCCTACCAGCTTATTCATGGTGCCCCGCACCTTCAGTGCAGGAAAGCCCGGGGGCTCTGAGGCACGTTCACTCATTATATTGAAGAATTAATGCGAGAAAGACCCTCAGTGACAGGAGTGTGAGATTTCAAGAAGACGAAGGTGATGAGAGGATGGAAGGTATAGTGATGTGAAGATGAGGTCAAGTGTGAGATAAGTTCGGAAGGAAATAGCATGTGAGGAACTTCCGAGTCTAAGCATGTATATGAAGTTAGCATTGTACCTTTTCTACGTCAGAGTTATTACAGGCGAACTGGAATGAACTCTGAATGAGGTCCTGGCTGTAAGAACTCGACTGCGACTGTGAGCGTGCGGGCCGTGGAGCCTATTGGTGTCAACGAGGCGAAATGGCCCAACGCTGTGATCATGTGCTTAGATGTATCTTTAAAAAAGTGCCACAAGCGTGAGGGTTCGAGATAAAGGGAAGGTGGCCGGTTCAGTGAGATTGCAGCTGTTTATTACTACGAGGCAGGGAAGGGCATTGCCCGCACGAATAACTACAGCTCCAGCTCGAGGTCTAACTGTAGTCAAGTCTCAGGGCACTGAGGAAAGTGGGGAAAGAAGAAGGTTCTTCGGAAATAGATTGATGGCGAGTTGTTCGTTATGTTCACAGCCCAGATCATGGGTGGGACAGCAACCTGTCACTTGCTTGTCCACGGTTCAACGGCGCAGCTAACTCGAATCAAAGGCTCCTGTTCTCCTCCAGCTTGGTCGAGCACGGTCGGCACCCCCCTTCTCCGCCTCTCCTCCACCAACAAATCCATCCCCCTCCACCCCATTCCCTGGAACCGCCACCGAAAGCGCTGTGATCATCTTATCCTCATGCCTCAGCCAGAAATCATCCTCCCCGGTGTACTGCCGCTGAGTATTATGATTGCGGCGAAACCGCCTCCGCCGGCCTCCGCCAGCGCCGAGCGACGAGCTCTCGGCGGAACTGCCCAGCGTGGACAACGAAGCGGACACGTCCATCGGTTTGGTTCTGTTGTGCCACTGCAGCCGGGCGAGCGTGACGGGCGCGAAGAGGAAGTCGGCGAGGAGGTTGAGTACGAGCTTTTGGGCGCGCCAGAGGGTCTCGCGGAGGCGTTCGTTGAAGGCGATGAGGAGGGCGATGATGATTATGGCGAAGGAGGTGGGCCCTGAGATGTAGAGCATTTGCCCTAGAGTCAGGTTCTCGGGCTCGCCGCTCCACTCGCGGGCATTGATGCCGAAGAGGGAGGTGAAGAACGAGAGGGGCAGGAATATGATGGTGAAGATGGTGAACACCATTACGGATCGGGATTGGTCCTGCGTGACCTCTGCTTCCCATCGGGCCAAGCGAGACTCGTCCACATTGGCTTGCTTCTGCTTGAGGTCTAGGAGATTCTCGACCGCTTTCTGAGCGAGAGAAGCGTTTTCTCTCATTTCTAGGACCTGGTTGCGATATTCTTCGAGTCGGGAAAGCGCTGTTTCCATGAAGACTTTGCCGCATCCCTTGTGCTCGAAGTAGGTGGACATCATCTTGATGGTCGTTGCTTGTACGTCCAGAAGTTTGAGTATAGTCCCTAGCTCATCGATGATATCTCGTAGCTCCAATAATGTGGATAGATCTTCACGGTTGCGATTGGCTACTTCATGGTCTCGTTCCTCGCGCTCCGTTGCTGACATTGGTTTCCCATCGGCGTTTTTGTTGAAATCTGCAGGCCGCGTGATGAAGCCTCTGTTGCGAAAGCGTTTGAACGATTTGGTCATGGATTCAGTCTGTTTGTGTTAGTTTGGCCCTTGAGACCAACAATTGAGGCTTACCAAAATGCTGATAGACTCTTCAAAGATTCGGAGAATCTGCAAATCGCGGTGCAATGTTCGGTCAAGAAGGACTGTGGCTGCGTGTAACACAATCAAGGCAGCAAGATCACCCGCTGTTTCGAATCGTCTCGCCAAATCGCCATTCAACTCATTGTAGATGCTATTGTATAGATTCGATTGCTCGTATAATTTTCCTTCGGCTGTGGTAGCTTCTTGGTGAGGAAAAAATGTCACAACAGTCTTCTCGTCGACAATCCAGAGCCAAAGTTGATCGACCATAAGCACCTTGCCATCCATGAACGGACCCTGGTTCTCCGAGTTACTCTCAACGAGTAATGCGCTGTTGAACTCACTCGGGTTGACCTTCTTCTTCGTTCGTTTCCAGAGCATTTGATCGTCGTCTCTCGCTACCGTCGATCTGAGGTTGGGGTATCCAAACTGGTCCAGCGTTCTTCGTATGTGGATAGGAGGCTCATTGCCCAGGAGTTTCCAGATCAGTTTCGATTCTAGACTGGCCGTCGAGATATTGTGAGGTACGGGCCTGAATCTCCCTTGTCGAAGTCTTTCTTCGACCATTTTGCGTCGATGCACCAAGTTTGAGTAGGTATCCCAGTGGAGCTGGATTACAATCAGATCACTAACCATCAAAAGCATACGCACTGAAAGGTATACGTACGTAAGGGACCTGTGAGAGAAAGCATTAGCTCTGACCAGAAGTCATGATTATTTTGACTTACATAAAGTGCCAGTCTAGGATCATGCTCTTCTTCTTGGGCACTCAACGGTGTATGTGGTTCTTGCTTGAAGTGGATACAGGCTGGTCGCACATAACGTGCATGAGGCTCTAAATGACGGGCCCTAATGAGATTGGAGTACCAATTTTCTTCGTCCATAAGCTTCTCAAAGCTGATGGCAAGAGAAAAGTGCTGGTCAGCAGACGCAGAGAGTCCGTATCTTTCGAAAGCTTACAAAGTCTTCTTGTCTTGCTCGCGACAGGCGCGGGCAAGGATTGGAGGTACCCATCCCGTGTGTGTGTAAGGCACATGAATCCAGAGAAGCTTCTCACTGCCTGGTTCCGGTCGACCAAATCGAGGTATTCTTCGAGGCTTTTCAGCTCTTTCTTCATCTTGTTTGTCTCTTGTTAGTTTTGGGACTGGAAGAAACGTTTTATATCTAGTAGACGCGCTTGTTCTATATTTGATTATCATCTATGTTAGCGATACACGCATAACGTAAGCCCATGAAAACAACTCACTGCGAATGCTTAAATATAGGTACGCCATCATCTTTGGTGGGAATTTCTGCCTCTGTGTCATGCTGTGCCTGCTCGATAGGGTCGTGCATGTCTGGGGCCGTCTCTTGCGGCACATCAAAGTATCCCTCGCCGAGTGGCTCGGTGACATGGATCCGCGGAGAGGCGGGTGCCATGAAGCTACGGCTTTCTCGGAGTGATGGTCTAGACATAATGGGCTCAGATCTGGTCCTTTCAGCCAATCGTGCTGCAGTAGGGTTGACAGCGCTCTCTATCGAAGATCGAACATGCGCGGACGTGGGCCGGCTGTCAAAGCTGCTAATCGACGAATCGTCGAGAAGTCCAGCGGGAATACCACTTGTTCTTTGAAGCCTGTCTTTGAGGCACATCGACGGTCCAGACTCAAGATAATCCTTCAATGATGCTTTTGTGGACCAAAGCTTGAGAGGTGTCTCGTCGCTCACACCCCGTCCGGGCCCTCTGCAGTACATTACCGGATATTCAGCGAGTCTCTCAAAAGCCTCTCAGTCAAACTACGACGCGATATTTACAACTTTGATAATCCAGGGGCTCCAGCCTTTGAGATCATGACCCTGCAATCACATCCTGACCCGTTGTTCGACCTGCGATACAGTTGCACATATTGGTTGGACCATTTTATCAATTCCACATCTGTGGAACAGCCTGAATCACTGGATGATCAGATATCCAATTTCTTCAAGCATCATTTCCTCCACTGGTTGGAAAGCCTTAGCCTTATTGGCGAGCTCCGGCACGGAATCTTGATTCTTAAGAAGCTTTCAGTTTGTCATACACGGCATCAAACAATCTTTAAGGAGGCTGAAAGATTCGCAAGTGCTAATGCTATGATAATACAAGAGGCACCTCTACAAACATATAGCGCCGCACTTATCTTCTGTCCTCAAAAACTTTTGAGCAAGAGACTCTATTGGGATCAGCGGTTCGACTTCATAAAACAGGCATATGTAATGCAGGGATTCCTGGAATCCATGTATACAAGTGCTTGAAGACCACGGATCCTGGGTCAACGCAGTGGCCTTCTCACCTGATGGGCAGACAGTCGCGTCCGCCTCCAGTAATAAGACTATCCGACTCTGGGACACAGCCACTGGTACTGAGAAGCTGATCCTCAAGGGCTACAGATTCTTAATCTATACAGTAGCCTTCTTATCTAACAGGTAGATAATTGTATCTACCTCTGAAGATACAACTATTTAATTCTAGGATATAACTACCAGTACTACTGAGTAGATCTTTATAGGCTATAAATTCTTAATTTATATAGTAGTCTTTTTACCTGATAGGCAGATAATTATATCTACTTTTAAAGACTAGATTATCCAGCTCTAGAATACGGCCACCGGTGTTAAGAAGGGGACCCTTAAAAACTATAGATTCTTAATTTATATAATAGTCTTCTTATCTAATAAGTAGATAGTTGTATCTGCTTTCCAAAATATAACTATCCAGCTCTAGAATACTACTACCGGTACTGGAAAGCAGACCCTTAAGATCCATAAGAACTAGGTTAACGCAATGACCTTCTCACCCGACAGGCAGACAGTTGCATCCGCTTCCAGTGATAAGACCACCCGGCTCTGGGACGTGGCCACCAATGCTAAGAAGTGGACCCTTGAAGGCCATCAGGACTGTGTCTGGGCAATAGCCTTTTTACCTGATGGGCAGATGGTTGCTTCTGCTTCCAGTAATAGTACTATCTAATTCTGGAACACAGCTACTGGTATTAAGAAGCAGATTTTTAAAAGCTACAGATTCTCAGTCTACACAGTAATCTTCTTACCTAACAGGTAAACAGTTATATCTATTTCCAAAGACTAAACTATTTAGCTCTGGGATACAGCTACTGATACTAAGAAGTAAACTTTTAAAGACTATAAAAACTAAGTTTAAATAATAGTCTTCTTACCTAACAGGCAGATAGTCGTATCTGTTTCTAAAAACTAGACTATCTAGCTCTAGAATACCGCTACTAGTATACAGAAGAAGATCCTTAAGAATTATAAAGGCTTAATTAATACAGTAGCCTTCTTATCTAATAAATAGATAATCGCGTCTGCTTCTGAAGACTAAACTATTCAGCTCTAGAACACGGCCACTAGTGCTGAGAAACAAACCCTTAAAGGCCATAAAGGCTCGGTTAATATAGTGATCTTCTCACCTAACAGGCAGATGGTCGCGTCCGCTTCCGTTAACAGGACCATCCGGCTCTGGGACAAGGCCACCAGTACACAGAAGCAGATACATCGTTCTGATATGATAGCAACAGCCCTCTGGTTCTCAACTGATGGATGTTATCTGAACACTGATCGTGGTTCACTTCCCTTGGATCTTAAAGCGTCTAACTCATCGAATAATCTAATATTCGTTCATGAGAAATGGGTACGCCGGAACGGACAGCACTTGATTTGGCTTCCATCACAGTATCGGGCGACATGTGTGCTGACCAGAGAGCACACTGTGATTCTTGGACATTATTCAGGAGCATTGACATTCCTTTGGCTCAACAGAATTATATAGTTGAACTTTGTTGGTACCTTGTCTATATCGTCTCACTTCCTACCCCTCACTCTCCTTACTTTCAAATATCTTTGCAAAAGGAGAATTTGGGAAGGTGTTTCCTATACTTCGGTATATCGCCACGCGGGTCAGCAGATTCTAGATTACTATCAAAAAGATTATGCGCGAAAATGGCCTAGCCGAGACTGGATACCAAGTTGAAGATATCACCTGGTTAAAGAGGAAAGACACACCCCTAGGGCGCTCTGCATCAATGGGCATCTGGCTGATTACTCCGGAAGCCGCCAACTCAATTCTCATAATAACGGGCTTCTGGTGGGACAGATGTAGTCGGGGGCGTGGAATCCTATCGGGTCGAACGAAAGAGATGCCGCCGCTGTCAACGATTTGGCCATCTCGCCTGGTAATGTAAGGAACAGATCCGCTGCGCACACTGCGCCGGTCAACATGACCAACGTCAGTTTCCCCTGGTGAGACCCCGGTGTCCAGACTGCAACGAGGAACATCCCACTGGTGACCTGAGGTGCCAAAAGCGCCTTAATCCTAGGTCCTCTCAGTGACCTCACACGAGCTCCGTATCCTACAGTTAACATCATGAAATCGAGGGTAGGAATGGAAGCCCTCATAAACGACCACAAAACAACAACCGTCGACCTCCTCTTAATCCAAGAGCCCCCTATTTCCGCACACCGGACACATGTCAACCACAGCGCATGGCGCTCTACTGCCCTGTCCACACGGAGGACGCGCCACGCGGTTCCGCAGTCTCCTCTATGTGAATAGACGGATATTAACATCATCACATCGCCAGATGCGATGCAATCACCCGGATCTAGTGGCTGTCAAAATCTGGACCGCAGACATCCAATATGTCATCTTCTCGATCTACATCCCGCCAATAGCCATACTCCAACCCACCAATGAAACCAGTGCCTAGCAGAGAGACGAAAATCCTGACTACTACCCAGGAACATATGAATGGGACAGATAGAAAAACGAAACTTATCCTAGCAGTCGACTTCAATCGCCACACATCCAGCGTGGAGCCATCAGCCGGTAGCTCCCCGCCTTATGGAACATGCGGACGAGCTCGTCAATTTCTTCCAGATGCATCGACTCCAGTGGTGCTTACCACGGGGTATACCCACTTATTGGGCTCTACATAACCCAGGACAATCATCCACCATAGACCTTACCGTGACCGATGATCCTGCGAGACTCATCAGATGCCAAATATTCCACGACAACTGTGGATCCGGCCATCGTGGAACCCTCTCGGAATGGGACTTACAGCCTAGGCGGAACGAGCCACCAAATCTAAAGAGGGCGTATGACCGAGCGAACTGGGAAAGGATCGGTCAAGACATTCAGACCCAGATGACGCTGTTACCTTCCATTCTCAACGCGGCAGACTTAGATCAAGCCGTGGAGGAACTAGTCAAATCAACAGTTACGGCCTTTGACCGACACACCCCGAGGCATCGGCCATGTTCATACTCAACAAGGTGGTTTACCCCTGCACTCAAAGTCCAACACAGTGAGGTCAATCAAGCCCGCCGAAGCTGGCAGAGAAGGTGTGCCGACTTAGGGCCAAAACATCCTAGCTCCAAGGTCATCCTTCAGGATATGCAAGGGAGGGGCCGGCAATGGACGCGGGCAATCGAGAAGGCCAAAGCGCACACTGGAAAGGATACCTAGATAAGGCCGGAAACCCGGGAAACCCCACTATACAGTGTCTAGAGCACACTGACCGATTTTACCGGCGAACCACACTCGGAAAGATACTAGATGCGGTAGTAGCCAAACGGTTGTTATTACCTGGCTGAGTCATATAGCTGCTCCCAGAGATGCAGCTCGGAGGGCGGCCTGGTCGAAACATGGAACAGGCACTACTGGTGCTCGCAATGCAGTTAACCGGGCATGGCTTTGATCAAAGGTGGTAATACTCATCGCCTTTGATCCCAAGGGAGCCTTCAATGGAGTCAATAAGACTAGCCCGGAAGAACGCCTGCGGTCTAAAGGGATCCCTGAGATTGCCAGACGGTGGATTAGCAGCTTCATGGAGGACCGATACTCTATTATCACTTTCGATGGCTTTGAGACGCAACCGTCACTGCTGGGAGAATGCAGGCCTGGTGTGGATCAGTAGCAGAGGAAATATACAGATCAGCTGACCTTATACATACGGCTTCTGTTATGACCCCGACTGTGTCAAGTTGGCACTTGACCATGTTGGAAGTACCAAATAAAGCCATATTGTACCATTTTGCCTCCTGTTGGCGACAGTGCTTCGCCGTTGAATATGTCTTTCTGTTCCGAAAATCTTGCGTCTTCTAATAGCAGCGTCGAATTCTGATTTTGTAATTAACGAGTAATTCTAAGTATTTTCCATTACTATCAGGTCCCATGTTGCATACCCTCGTCGTAGGCCTAGACTGTCACCCATCGCACGTCTGTCGTGAGGCTGGCACAACTGCTCGAGGAAGAGGGAAATAACGGGCAATTAATCGAGGACGAGATCTTAAGTGTCTTTCGATAACAATAGAGGGCCCCTCCTGGACAAGGGGTTGCGAGCGGTAGTGGAGCGGACACTGTGTGTTCCTTCAAGAAGACGACATTCAGAGCGTTTTCGGGTACGTCCTCATGGAGGGTGGGCTATCCTCATCCGGATTGTGACTTCAAAGACGCTCCCTGTTTACCAAATTTAACTTTACTTGATTGGTCTCAGCTCCCCCACTAGTGATGACTCATAAGCTTAGCCAATACAGTGGGTGATCACCTGACGCCCAGTCCCACCTGCCGCCCGAAATCACCACCAAGTACAAAATCAAATATGAAGCAATTCAACTACATCCAATTGATATTATCTCTCGATTTCTGGGTGGCTTGAAGTAGTCATTAGATACAGTCTATACATAATTTTTAATCGCTCCGGAAGCGGTTGGGTAGCCGTATCTGCCAGCCTCAATGATTTACAGTTGGAGGGGCCTCTGCAACAACTTCAGCACTTATTAGCTTATTTATATGGAGATTTTGCTGGCGTGAAGCTTTAGAGGACTTTTTGGAATCTTCTTAGTCTGCTAAAAGTTATCTTGAAGCTGTTGATCAGCCTCCTTTGCCAGGCGCTCCTCCTCCTTTTGTTGTTTCTTCTGCTCTGCCTCCAAGCAGCGTAATTCTTGTTGAGATGCTCGAATTCTCTTGCGCTTTTCAAGCAAGCGTTGTTTCTCTTCCTTTGCTTGCTGCTGGCGGACCTTTTCTTCCTCTTTTGAAGCTTTAGCGAGCTGTATAGCCTCATCCTTCTGCTTTTAAAGATCACGAGCTTGTTGGACCTTCTGCGGAGAATAAAATACTGCACCACCATTCTCAGAAGGCGGAATATCAAACTGCAAGGCTTTACCTTGCTGATGCTTCTTCTTCTCATTCTGGAGGGCTGATTCAAGGCCTTGGCAACGTAGTTTTAGAAGAATATTCTCCGTAGAGAGGTGGTGCATCGTTGAACTCAACTTCTTAGTATTTTTGTCATATATATCAACCACCACGTGGTTTAGAAGCCTTTCAATCTTCCTCCAATCTTCTGCTTGTAGTATCGAGCGAGAAGACTCACTGGTAGAGGGCCTTAAGTCCTTCTTCTTGGTGAATTGCTGCAGAATAATCTCGGGATCCAGAGGCAATATACCGACAGTTTTCCATGAAGAAAGGATATTTCTCAATGACAAGGCTTGCTCTCAGACTGGCCAAAAGAGGTGGAAGAAGTCTTGTTTAGTAATATGGCTTAGGCCCATTGATTTATGCAGAAACTCCTCTAGTTGCTTGCTATAAGCAGTGGCAAGAGGACTAAAGATCCCAACATCAAGCAGCTGCAGTAAATAAGTTAAATGAGGCGGATATGTTATTAAGAGGATCTTATTATTGTCACAGTAATTGATGAACTCCATAGTAAGGTGAGATCCATGGCCATCAAGGATCAAAAGCCTCCAGCACCTTCGCGCTTTCTCCTTAGTATACCAGTTAAAAATGTCCTTTAACCAGGCCAATCCTAGCTTATCATTGATCCAACTGCTTGTGAGGAGGCAAAGAAGCAACTATATTGCTTGGGATCAAAATCTTAAAGCCAGGAATCCTGTATGTCACCGCTGATGGCCTGATAAATAAGACCCAGAGGAAGAGAGGTCCCGTCAGCGCAAATACAAGCAATTGAAGGTTATCCACTTGCAATTCCCGTCCTGCAGGCGCTGCTTGAGGCCACTATTCTGATATTTCTGCTTAGAAAAGATCCTGAGGCCTTTGACCAGCATTCCAATCATAAAGCCTTTCTCATCCATATTGTAGATATCCTCTGGCCGTAGCTCATATTCCTGCAGTTTCCGGCTCAACAACTCAAAATATAAAGTATATTTGTAAGCTGAATTGGCTCGTTTTCTTGCAGCATCAATACCAGTTGTATAAGTTGAAATAAGGTTATCTTGATGGCGCTTTAAAAAGCGCCCAGGCCAGTGCTTTCCGGGCTTCTTTTCAGTAAGCTCTTTAGCAAAATTCCGCAGCATTTCATGTGAGGCAAATAGGCCTCTCTCAGTGAGCTTGTTGATATACTTTATAAGTTCCTTATCTTGTTGGTTGGTGAGAATTCACTGCTCCTTATACTGATGGTCCCTCAAGCGTTGAACCCCGCGGTGGCGCCTTGAGAGCGTTGACCAGCTAACGCCATACTTGTTTGCAAAGAAAGTATAATTGATTAATTCACCTGGTTCCAGTGATTCAATTGCTTCTAAAGCCGCTTCAATTAGAGTCATATTGGTGGAGTTATGAGCAGTTGAAGTTTGGTCATTTTGAAAGTTGGTGTGTCATGGTGCCTTCCTCATCCGCCGATGTATGTAATTACGCCTTTGGCGTTACCGTCTCCCGTAGTCATATAGATATAGGCAGCTCGGTTCCCCCGATCCTCAATAAAGGCAGCTTCTTCATCCAACTCGTGTTACACACACCCTTCCCTTCCTCCCAGGAAGGATGACAGAGATGGCAATCTTTCTATACGACGAATTCGGCATCTCAGTGTCGCCATGGAGCATAAAAAGGACTCTTCCTCCGAGGGTTGGACGAAAAAGAAAGCCTAGCAAAGAGCAAGAGAACGGAACTCTGATCTACGAGACTTCTATTTCCAGAAGCTATCTGAATTTCATTTGTACCAGCTAGTTCACGTTGATGAGTCTGGGTGTGATAAGCGGATAGGTTTTAGAAGGACGGGTGGGTCTCCACTAGGAGTGGCACCAGCCCAAGTGGCGAAGTTCCATCGTGCTGTTGGAAACAATTGGATTCATCAAATCATGGGCCAAAGCTGGGAAGGGGAGATCTTGATGCCCCTCAACAAAAGTGCAAATCTCGAACCGCAAGTATGACCCACATGGCTTCACAGTGAGTGACTCATTGGTCCCACTCCGTCAGGGTCAAAGCCATCGCCCACTTTTTGGGAGAATGTCTCCTTTCATCAAAATTCTTTCTCTTTTAACAAAAAGGGCCGGTGGCCCCTTTGAGGCAGGCTCAATGCATAACAGTTATTTGAGAATATGTGACTTGGTAATAACTCAAGAGCAACTTTTTTTCAGTCCTAATTAATACACGTGATGGGCCTGAACCTTCCAGTTGTGGTTTTATGTTTAACCAGGCCGCCTTGGCTATTGTACAGAGTACTATGATAAATTCACGACTGCGCCGCTCTCATGAGCTTATGATCGATAGTGCGAATGACATAAGATATTAAGTTATTTCTCTCCTATTCTTTGGTGATAAAATAGCTTTTTCGCTTCGCGCGTTTTCAACGCCCCCAGCTGATAAGCATCTGACGAGCTCTTGATTTGAGCTTAGGTTGGACGGTTCAACATAATACAACGGAGTGTGACTTGATTGAGATTGAGTTGATGTAGATCTGGGTCCATACGATTACTAAGGCATTGGAGGAGCATCATGGGCTCCAGTAGAGAACCCCTTATTATCAAACTACCAGAAACCAGACCTATTGCTGACATTCTAACTAATCATACAGAAATAGCAGTGATATATTGCTGGGACTTTTGCTTCCAGGGCCCCGCCTGTTAAATTATTGGTGGAGAAAGAATCAGCGTGTTAAGCCTACCCTACCCCATGACACTAAGGGCAAGCAAACCTGCAGCAATTACAACCATTTCTAAATAGCACCACCCTCGCGCTGATACTGATACTTTTAGATCACTCTCTATGACATATTCTTGGACGTTAATCTTCTGCCTGTTGTTGTCCATCAGATTCACTGAATCTACAGAGCTCTATAGCCATTAATGATTTGGGCATCTTGAACCATGAACAGGGGAAAAGTGAAAAAAAAAAAAAAAAAAAAAAAACACCCTGTCTCATGCATGTTCTGACTGTCACAATCTTTGACACACCTCCGGTTTTTTAAAAGGTGTCCTTTATCAGCCTCTGTAATTTTAACCCTCGATGACACCACTCAGTGCTGCAGCACTCATTTCTATCACAGCCTGATTACCAGGTTACATCGCTGGAAAAGAGCTATCCACAATTCCCACCCTGTGGTGAGGCCTGCTGCTGCTTTTATCTCCAATCCCTGCTTAAGCACCATGCCAAGATGACAATCACCCTACCTCCACAGGGTCCTTAACCATGATTGGCCTCCTCTTACACCAAGTTGACTGCGCCGCAGTCTCTAGACTTTACTTCATGTGGTGTCCACATGTGCCTGGTGCCAGCCTGGACTGAATATAGTAAATTCACTAACTGTTGTCTTGAATTTCTCTCTGTCTGTATAGGGCCTCAGCCTTCTCTATCCGGTAGGATAATTAATACTCTGCTTATTGTGTTGCTTGCAAACCATTGTGATCACTAAAATCAGTGCACTATCTGGCTTATCTCCTGGCGGAGCCTTCAAATTTCTCCCAGTAAACAAGACACAAGGAGGGTACTGAACCTGACTTCCCTTTTTCCACTATTTATTCCTATAATGTCTGTCCCCTCTACCTGTTAAGCTATTATCTTATAGAAAACTCTATTTTAGCTATGAGAAGGTTGTGTAAACTACCTAATAAGCATAACTAGAAATAAGGTATTATGTAGGGCCTGGTAAGCATAGTTTAAAGGAGAGCGCACAGATAATAATCAGGTTTCTAATAGCAGAAGGGCTGGAAACTCATAGCTTAACTAAAGGCGCTTCTAATAGCATTCTATGTTCTAATTCCACTGAGGTGTTGTAGCCTGTTATCTAACAGAGCTGATGGATTCCTTAATTAGAAGGAGATAGAATAGCTAGATTTGTACATCAGCATCGTTTTCAAAGCAAGATGTGCTGCAAATTTCTGTAAGCGCCTGTTTAGTTTAGGTACTGGGGAGGGTGGGAAATCAAAGTGATATTACTCGATAGTACAGAAGACAGAAGACGTCCTTCCCGGGGTGATAAAGCCTATAAATACCAAAATAATGGCATGATTCAACAAGGTATTTAATTATCACTTGTTTGACAGGGTTCAGACTCGCCACGACACCCTGTAAATAACCCCTCACCTGCGGGGATTTCTTGCCTCGCATGTATTTGATCTCATATTTCGAGTCCCCGATTCTCGCGGGACTAGACTGCCTCCCCAGTTTAATCCAGCCAACAAGTGAAAAAGATGTTTGGCACAATCCGATACGACAAGAACACTGATAGTCGTGAGCATGTGGAGCTCCAAAGAGCAGATGGCATTGAGGCCAGAGGTTATACCCCGATTGCCTGTGACCGCTGTCGTTCGCGAAAGGTCAGTGAATCCACATCACCCTCCTTCTACCACTACAATCTACATCTACCCTGGGCAATGAGCAATTCTATAATTCTTCGCCGCAGCAGAATGCCTGCTGACATGTCTCCAGCTGAAATGCAGCGGCGACAAAGGTGGCTGTGGAAGATGCCGGACTGCCTCGGTCGCCTGCACCTATCGAGATGTCTTGTCGATCAAGGACAGCAGGAGAATGTCCAAACGGGTGTGCACTTCGAACAACCAGTTGCCAACTCCGAGCCCACGTCACGCTTCCAGCCGCAGCCAACCACAGCCCTTGAGCACAGAGGTGGACCAAGAGCGTCCTCAAAGTACGTCAGACTCTGAGCCGTTAAATTGGCTATCCTCCTCCTCCGAGGAGGCATTTACTGAATCGCCCAACACGTGGGTGAGCTCGTTCTTGCCAATGCAACCTACGTTCTCTGCAATGATAGATGATCATGCAACTCGCGGACATGATATATCATGTGGGCTGTCTGGGGTTCCGGAAAGCAATGATCCCTCGTCGACAGACGTGGAGAATATCTTTGACGCAGTCCTCGATACGGAGACAACCTACCACCACACAAACGTCCCGCCTCAGCCAGCCCGGCTTAACCAAAATACTCAAGAGAGACGGGCAGGACGGGCCTCGCTACCAGGAGGTAATCTGCCATCCGCTGTTGGCACTGACCAGGGAATTCCCTCAAAATGTGAATGCCTCAGCGACGTGGCTCGGTTCCTGGACGACATTGGCGTAGAATCGACAGAGGCGAGAGCTGACATGCTCCTAGTGTGCGTGAGTCGAGGGATGCGGATCTGTGGGGAGGCGCTTCGTTGTTCGGACTGTAGTGTCCGTGGGGACAATGGCATGTTTCTCGCTGTTGTCTTACAACAGCTGGTGACCCTGACGCGTACCGCGTCAGACAAACTTCTGGCTTGGACTCGCGAAAATAGGAACTGTCAGGGATCCGCTGCCGACATCCACAGTCCCACCATTTGGCTCGACCAGTACAGAATCGAAATGCCGGATCTTAAGGTCCCGCTTATTCGCCACGTCGCCTTGTTGCACTTGTTCAGTTTGCGAGATCTATTGAACGGCATCAAGGATAAAGTTAGGCCAAACAGTCTGGCGGGGCACCTAATTACGGATTGCGAAAGCAATATTGTTGATGCCCTCCAGATGGTTCGAGACAAGGCATCAAATGCGATGCCTATGGCTTCTGCGTTTTAGATGGGAAAGAAGTACAGAGCGGAAAGATATATGCTCACTTGACACTGGCGTTCGCGCAGTTAGAGCGATGCCCATCATGAATAGAGCAGTATATAGAAGATACCAAACATGAGATCCCAAACTAATTCATTGTTTGCTGTACAAAATGGCGCAAGGCATAGAGAAGTACATCCTCACCATACAAGAACCGGAAGGGGGCTCGGGACATTGGCAACTCTTCGATAATTTGATTCTCAGGTTCGCATACCTCTATTCTGGAGCTCTGCTATAAACCGTCGCTTATGCTCAATGTAATTTTTATTCGGACGAGCAAGACTGCCAGTGGGATACAGTGCTGTTAGTGGCACGTCGCGAACAGCAATCTCCGGTGCCGCTTTTGTGCCAACCATCTGCGTCTCAACAATACTGCCACCACCCCATTGTGGCTCCTGAAGGACCCGCAAAATGACTGCAGCGCATTCAAAGGCAGATAACGATACGTCATCCAATGTCAACTTTCTATTCCACTCGGGCTCGAACATAGGGGTCTATGATTACGCGGTTAGTGATAGCTGTGGCCGAAAGAAAAAAAGGCTGATTCGATGGGAAAGTCGCATACAAACACGGCCCCGGGGCACACAGCGGAAACCCGGATCCCAAATAAGCCTTGGAGATCGCCCAAGCATCTGACAAAGCTGACAATCGCCGCTTTGCTGGCCATGTATAAGGGCGTATCGATTGCATGGAGATAGCCGGCCATACTTGCCACACACAGAAGATTACCCTTCACGCCCGGATTTTGAGTCCAGTAATCCACGGCAATCTGGGACAGTCGAATGGGCGCCGCTTGATTGATGGCAAAAATCTGGTATTGACCGGGGGCCGCGTTGATGGGATCCGCAGACTCGGGCGAGAGACCGGGCGGTTTCCAGAAGGAGCTGAATGGCGATTCATATATGCCAGCTATATTGGCGACAATATCGATACGCCCGAATGTGTTCAGAGCGAACTCCCACAAGGCACTAAGTTGAGCCCAGTCGGCCACATCTGTTTTGTGGAATACTGCAGTCGAAGCTCCGGGTGTGACCGCAGGATGAGGGTATGTGGCAACCTTCGATGCGGCCTCTGGGCGCATTTTCAGGTCGGCCAGAATAACAGACGATCCTGCCTCGAGCAGCATGCTGGCCACTGCGTGACCAATCCCTGAGCCAGCACCAGTCACTATAGCAAATTTTCCATTCAAATTATAAGTAGACATTCTTCAGAACAACTGCAAGATTTGGGGTTGTTGTTGAGCTTCAATAATACTGGTGAACACAACGAACGGGACTTCCGCGGAGATAGATGGACTAGAGCAATGAGAACAAATAACTGAGGCATGAGGCATCATGGCATTCTCCACCGCAACCTGCTGGACTAAAGATGTCTTCGTATAGCGTCAGTGGCTTCTAGGTGATGCGTCGGAGCTTCCACAAGCGGTAACCGCCGTCTGGGCCCTAACTCGAAGCCCTAACTTCGTGCAAAACAGCAACCGCCGCGTTCGTGAGACCCTTGTCTTCGGCGCAACCCCAATTGGGGGTCCAACTTCAAGATCCCGACGTGGGCGTTCTTGAGGATACATACAGAGGTTCACCTTAGACCCCAAATCGAGGCGGAATGGGGCAGGGTGGGGTGGGGCGAGGTACATCCCATCTCCAAAGTTCTTCCATCAATCGACCTACTCGATCAACACAATAGCTAATTCTGGGCGCAATATACGTGCATTCGGCGAAAAACCGAAGAGCAGGGGACAATTTGCCAGAATGGAAAACGCTTGTGGCAATAATCATAGCCATACAGTGTGGAAAGTCGCCATTTAAGAAAGGCGCCCGTATTTCCAAGGTGGACCGTAAACCTGTATACAACAATTTGCAGCGTTTCAATTAAATTAACAATGTAATTTTGAATCACCTTCTCGGAGTAGCCGGCCTAAGAAATATGATAATCGCATGACATCTATAGGTTTCTTCTACTGAATATAACGAACTAATCCCATGATCGGAGCATGACTTCAGGTATGATGCACTCCCATTTGTGACGCACGAACCGAAGTATGGATGGCACGATGGAGGGAATTGGGTACGAGTATTTGGGCCGCCATTAATATTATCTCTCACGCAAAGAACTCAGATGCGCTTCACTTCTACGGCCGGAAAAGACTGCAAAAATGTAGGATTTGCCTACCTTAGGAATGAAATACACCAGGTCAGACCAAATTCTCGTTGTTCATGGACAGCTGAACGCTTCCCTTTCGGCGGCGTACTCGTAGCTTAGCATTGGATAATGGAATGCGCAGTATCCCAATCCATCTGTCACGGGGCCTCGAATCCATAATCTCCAGGTCGTAATACATCAACGCGTAGGCCAACATTAGTTTGAGCTCACTGGCCGCAAAGAATCGTCCGGGGCAGGCTTGACGGCCGTTGCCAAAAGCAAGGTAATCGTACCCAGTAGCGGGAAACGTCAAGCGTGCTCGCTGTACATGGTCCTTGTTGGGGTCATCGCTGCTGACATCACGGCGCAGTCCAACGAAGCGGAATGGCTTGAAGGTATCTGGCTGCTCATATACATTGGGATCGTGGACAACGCCAAGGTTATGGACAGCGCAGAAGTTACCGCAAGGTAAATGGACACCGGATGTCGTGGTGAATCCCTCCTTAGCTACGACTCTGCGACGAAGCCCGACAGCAACCAAAGTGTTGAGACGGGCACTTTCGCGAAGCACCGAGTCGAGCTTCTCCATCTTACCCAATGCCAGCTTCGTCCATTGTCCTCCACATGTATCCAGAACTTGTTTGACCTCGGCTCGCAGCTCCTCAAGGACTTCGGGTGTAGACGACGCCAAATCCAGCATGACGTTCACGATGGTCAAGGAGGATGTGTGGATAGAGACCAGGTTCATCAAAAGTATACGGCCTGCAAGGGTCCTGGGCTGCCACATGCGAGGGTCACCGCTTTCCTTGGCCTGCTCTATACACCACTGTAGAAAATCATTCTTCTTTTCCGCTTCGCCAGAGGTTTCCCCGGAACACAACGAGGGGGTAGGATTGAAAATGTCGTGTAGGCGATGTTCAATCTCTGGAATTAGTATTTGAGTGAACCGGTTTTCGTAATATCGACAAGGAAGCGTGAACAATAATGATGCCAAAGGACGTAGCGGCTTCCATGTAAAACTCAGTAACAGCTGGCTGAATGGCAGTGCTCGCGCAAAGCCAATACCGGCATTCAGCAGCGCCGAGTCACGACAGTATGGAAGACCAACAAAGGCGTAATTTGTTGCTCTGCTCACAATAGCACCCATACTATCCCATATTGTAACGTCACGAAATGACTCTGTGTCGGTTCCCCATTGCTGCTCAAAACCCCTAATGGTCTCATTAGCCAAGCCAGGAAGGAGATTAGCGATCTGGTTGGTTAACGTCGTCGTAATGAGCTTTGTGTGTGTTGGGTTTGAGACGATAAAATTGTCGGATATAGTGTACTCGTAGAGAAGCCCCTGTACAATAACCTCGCGCAAGCTCAGCACAGTATTGGGCTGATCCGTCACTAGCTTCGTCTCAGACGCTGGAAGTAACACAAATGTTTGACCGCCGGGTCCTGCAATAGGCAGAATTGCGGCCTGGTCCTTGTGCTTCGCATAGGCTTCCAAGATATTCCCTCGGAGATTGAGAGCGTTGCGCCATGCTGCTTGAAGAAAGGGAAACCAGTCGCTGTCTTTGGCGCCAATTATGGGTAAACCCTTGGGGAGATGTGCGACAGAGGGAAACAAGAGTTTTCGGACAATGTAAACGCAAATCAACCCCGCTGCTATCTTCGCGATGATCGCCATATTTGCGTCTGCGCTGCCGATGCAGTTTAAAGACTGGTGACCGGGAGTATAACCGGGGAGGGAATTAAACTGGGTGTCATTTGCAAGAAATTCAAGTTGACACGGCATTACGTCCACAGAGCTGTGGATGATATCTCGGGTTCTCTCAATGTGGAAAGAGCCGAGAGCGGGCGCCATGCAAACAAAAGGAAAGGATTATTACAGATAACTGGTATGTACGTGCGCTCCGTTTTACCGAGGTAGAGAGATGAAGGCTGCCGAAAATGAGGATCCTTGCTCTCCACGGTCTCGGCTCGTCATCCTCGCTGCTGAAAGAGCAACTGGCGCCCTTCGTGAGAGCATTGGGCAAAGAGTATCAGTTCAATTTTCTGGATGGAGCAATACCTTGCGGGAGAGGCCCAGGTACGGGTTTCTATCGTTCCAGTTCCAACCAATGCTGAAGCATCCAAGGCGTCCCGGCTTGGGCCTCAGGGCCTTTCTATTCATACACAACAGGATTCACTCCAGCTGAGATGCGTCAAGCTCTCCGCCACTTAGATGATTTTATCAAAAAGCACGGTCCTTTCGACGGCGTGTTTGGCTTCAGCTTGGGTGCTGCCCTTGCGATAACTTATATGCTGGATCAGCAACAAAAGCAGGCTTCTTCGCCATTCTGTTTTGCTGTCATGTTCTCGCCCATATTTGTTGTTTCACCTGATGATAGCTATTGTGAGCAGCTTCTGCGGCGATGGCTAGCAGATGACCATGCAGGGTTTCGGTCCAAGTTCCCCGATGGCGATTTTATGACGGAGTTGGAAGATCCGTCCGAGCGAACGCTTGCCCAGTATCTGCAGCAGGTCTTGTCCATGCAGTCAATGGGCGTTGGAATGATTTTGCCAAACACGAATGTCGATTTCCTGGGCACCAAAAAGCCCGAGGAAGTACCGCGCTTGGTACATCCAGATTTGTTTCACGCCCGGATCAAAATACCAACGGTCCATGTGAGCGGGCAGAACGACTCACCCTACATTGGAAAGCAGTCGGGAGTTGCACGAGACCTATGCACACCTTCGATTCGGCGGGTGCATAGTCACGATGGCGGCCATGACATACCCTTTAAGATATCCGACGTGAATGCCATTGTTCCATCGATCAAGGCGATGGCCGAGGAAGGTACTCAGATACGAGACTTTTATGGGGATTGATTTCGTGCTCGCGAACGGAAACGGGGCGGAAATTATATGTCATGGAAATGGCTATCTTCAAGTTGGACATTGCCCTCGTTGAACTTCCATCATCTGAGACATGTTTTCAATTTCGCAAGCTCAAGGATGTATTATGATATATACTGCCACTTCTCTCCTTCAGTTACTGTTACATGCGTAAACTATATTTCGTAAACTCCCCGTCCTTGTCGAGGAAATTCACTTCTTTGTCAGATAAAGTCATGACAAACTCGATTCCGCCATAAGTCTTTCGAGGTATGACGAAACAGGTGCGGAAACCACTGTTGCAATCTCCCATGAGTGGCCGAAAAGCCTCCGGTCGACCACCAGCACCGAATGTCTGGGCTCCAAAGCAGGTCTCATTGAACGGAAGCGTTGTTGGAGCCAGGATGCCCACTGAGGGTGATTTCATGCGAGATGCTCGCAGTTGCGGTAGTTTTTTGTAGTCTGGGACCGAATCGAGTAGTCGGTACGCACCCAGCAGGCTGGCGTGACCTGCGAAAGTTGCCGCATGCGTCCGTATCGTTTTCGCGAGCTGGGGTATGCTCGTATCCTTGGCCACAATATGGCTCAGGGAAAGTGCAAGTCTATTTTCAAAGTTGACATTGCCCAGATAACTGGTTGGTAGCAGATCCTGGAGCTGTGGCCGCGCATCGAAGGGGATGCTGACCTCGGAAATTGCTGTGCCAAGGTCGCCGATGTTGTGCTGCGCGTCCTGAGTTGCCATCCAAGCCCTAACAACACTTCTCCAGATCAAAGCACAAATAAGGTCGTTTCCAGAAACGTCCGTAGGACCAAGTTCAGCAATGCAGTCTTTGCGCAGGGCTGTATATGACCCTTGCGGCAGATAAAACAACATGGGCTTCATCGTGTTGGGCACACCAGGAAGAGCGTCGAGAGCGTTGGAAGTCATCTCAAGAAAGGCGTCTTCGGAGTCAAGGCCCACGAGACGATAGATCCCTGCTGCCATGTGACTTGAAATCTCGTGTCGCTTGTCCCCTTTGCATGTCGCTCTCAATGCTGTCCGTTCAAACCCCGAGCCCAAGCCGCCGTGGGGTTGAACACCGTTGTCCGTCTCCGCGTTTGTCGTCCAAGAGTTGCAGTGGTGAGCCCAAACCTGAGTCACAGAGAGCATAGCGGTGCCGTCCGAGGCCGGGCTCGCGACAGAGAGAACCAGAGCACAGCCCCCAGGCAAAAAATTGGCCTGGGCCGTCAAAACATCAGCCCCTTTCTCGAAATTTGGCTGAAACGGGGTCGTCCATAACAATTTTTCCTCTTCGAATGTGTCCAACGGGAAACCCTGATCTCTGAGGTCAGAGAATTTCAGATCGGTTTCTAACTCATTGAATCGCAGTTGGTGTGGTGGTTCTTTGGAAGAAAGAGATTCGAAACGAATTTCCAACTGGCCGGGACGCCACCCCGCGGTACCATCGCTCCGCCAGTGTACGCGACCATTGAGCCAAGGTATTTGAGCAAAGGTGCGACGCAGGCCTTCTTGGAGACGTCCAAAGGCATCCTGCGCCGTGACATCCTGCTTCAAACTCAAGTAGATCACGCTCTGTGGAATATTCCACGCAGCTATGTGGTCGAGGGGGTCAAGCGCAATCTTCGAAGTCGGGGCCATGGTCAATCACAACACGATTCTGAGGATAATGAAAACACCTTGTTCATGATTTCCTGTTTTACATCTTGTCAAATTGGTAGTCTTAAACCCGGAGCATAGTCAGTAGCTGAGAGCCATATTGGTAAGCAATACTCAAGTCACTTGAACGTCGGATATTACTAGATTCGGTCATTCCAGATTATGAGTAATGCATAGGCATTGTTACTAGTGGTTTTGAGATAGATGAGCTAAACAAAAAAATATCCTCCCGAATATCTCAGCCAGACCTATTTTTTGTCGAATCTGCCGGGATTGCTGGCCAAGTGTTAGCCTGCTAGATAACCAGACCTCAATTTTACCCTGCTTTATCTTGTGTAATCCTCACGCGGATTCCCTGCCCTTCAGGGCTCGGGAGCCCAATGATACAATCACGCTTTACATCGACGTCCCGCTCCCTGATTGTTTCATGCAAACGCATGTCAAAACGAGTCAGGAGGCGGGCTATAGTGAGATAAAGTTCGGCATATACAAGACTGTTAGGTGGTCAGACGGCAGAGGAAAAAGACCGATAGCTGATGAAAACTGACTTGATACCAAGGCATATCCGAGAGCCTTTGCCAAAGCCCATGAAATAATTTTGTTTCAACTCAGGATTGTCAAGCCAGCGATGCGGATTGAACGTGTAGGGATCCGGGAAGATGTCGGGATTCATATGATGCAGATAATGAGATTGCATCACACGTGCCTACACCCCAAGAATTAGTGAGAAGTCGATTTAGCCTTGCGAAATGCACTCACCCCCGCGGGTATAATCCATTTGCTGTAGCGTAGTGTCTCCTCTGGTGCATATCGAGGCATTCGGCTTGAAACCACATGAGAGAGCCTGATTCCCTCCGTAATTACTGCGGGCTGTTTGAGCCAACATGATTAGCTGTTATCTTACGTTGATGGAGGTTGACTTGTTCTCAATGACTCACAAAGAACCTCAAGGCTTCGAGAGCAGCCACGGACACCCGTGAATCAGGATGGGGCATGAGGGGCCTCAGTTCTTCCCTCAGTTGCAATAAGGTCTGAGGATTGTCCAAGATATGAAAGAGGACAAGTGACAGAGCCCTGGCAGTAGTCTCAGTGCCTGCAATAACCAAGAGATTGGCCTCTGCCGCTAAACGGGCGGGTGCTTTCTCGCTGGGCGGAAGATTGCTCCGTAGAATATCCTGGAAGATAGACTTGTTCTTTTGAGACTCCTTCTCTGCCTCAAGTAAACCCTCACTTTTGGTTCTCTTCCCTTCTTCCTGTTGACGAACAGATTCCTCAATCATACCGCGAAAGAAAAGTCTATTCCTTGGAATGAGGGCAGCGGCAGGGCTGATTCGATGCATGAGGCTCGACGGAATCAGCGTAAGACATGCCTTGGCAAGCCAAGGGAACTGACGACCGACAGGGCCAAATTGACTCAGTTTGCTGTATGCCTCGAGATACTCCGCGCCGAAGTCCTGGCGCGTCAAGTTGTCCGTCTCCGCGCCGAAAGCGTAGGCCGAGATGACGTCCATTGTCAGCGCACCGCAAGCGAAGGTTAGAGAAACAGTATCACCTGTGCGATAAGCCTCTGCAAAGCGACCACACAGAATTTCAATCTTGTCGATTATCATCTCCTCGTGCTCTTGGACGGAACGCTTGCTGAAGAAACGATTGAGTGCGGCCCTTCGCATCCGGTGGACATCGTGATCGACAGTCTGAAAAACCGACCATCCCAGAGGGCCATTTGACTCTGAGCGGTAGTACCAGGCATCCCGATTGCGCTTACGCTTGCCTCCGGCATATATTTCATCGAGGTAGTTGGGGTCGTTGATATGTAAGTGAATTGGGTTGATGCGAACAATTGGCCCGTATTTCTTGTGCATTTCCTCAATCTTCCACAGGTAGCGCAATTTGTGTGGGAAAAGGTCATAATAAAACTCGTACCAAAATGTCGCTGCTGCAAGCTTAGGGCCTGGGAACTGGGCCAACGGGTGAATTGTTAAGCGATAAATACAGAGAAGAATCCCGTAAACGAGGTACAGAGATATTCCACCGAGTAGGACATCCTTGAATGTGTAGTGGATTAGAAAGCCGGAGAGCTGTGAGGACATCATTTTGGCAAATGGTTCGTCGTAGATAGAACGCTGGGGTTGCTGTAGTTGTTTTATTTCAAATCTTAAAGGGCGGTATACGCCGGATATAACCAAGAATGGAAGTTCCCGGCAGCCATCATGACAGAAAGAAAAGGCTGCCTTTGCGACGCGCTCATGGCCTTTTGTTTCAATGCCCTCACAGAAACTAGACTACGAGACGGCATGGACTTATGATACGGACTGACAACAAACAAGGGCCAATAACATTAGTACTATCTAGTGATAGAGAAGAAATAATCAAAGGTAAAGATCACAGGATGACCATAGGCACCGAAAAAAAAAAAAGAAAAGAAAGAGCATCAATTTGATAGTCACTATCCGACCGGATGTTTTCTCAGACCCGCCAAATATTCGGAATCCCCAGGTAGAAGATTCACATTTCACCCAAATTCTGCAAGCTGACAAGCTCAAAGTATGCTGACCGCTTCTGCATCAGCTCAGCATGAGTTCCACTCTCAATGATGCGGCCTTGGTTGAAGACATAGATCATGTGTGCCTTTTGCACCGTACTGAGACGATGCGCCACGGCGATCGTCGTGCGGCCTTGAGCTGCGTTATCCAGAGCAGCTTGCACGAGCTTTTCAGACTCCGAATCCAGAGCGGAAGTGGCCTCATCCAGCAAAAGGATTCTGGGGTTGCGGAGCAATGCTCTAGCTATTGCAAGACGTTGCTTCTGGCCACCTGACAGCATGCTGCCCTTACTACCAACGAGGGTATCGAAACCGTTTGGCAGACTGATGATGAAATCGTAGATGTTTGCGTCCTTGCAGCATAGCACCATTTCGTCTTCCGAAACGTCATTTCGGCCCGTACCCAGCATAATATTCTCACGGATGGTACCTTGATAGAGCGTTGGCTCTTGGCTCACAAGCGCGAGATGGGAGCGGTAATTGTTGATGTTGAATGACGAGATTTCCTTGCCGTCAACATAGACACCGCCGAGGACTGGATCGTAGAATCTCTCGAGGAGGGCAATTGCGGTGGACTTGCCACATCCACTAGCTCCGACGAACGCAACGTACTGCCCGGGCTTGACGTGCAGATTGAGACCTCGCAGAACGAGCTGATTTGGTCGCGTTGGGTACCTGAAGTACACGTTTCTGAACTCGACATGGCCTTCTATACTCTGGACCATCTCGCCATCATGGCTCCAGGTATCGATATCCGGCGTCCGGTCGAAGAGAGCCTTGAGACTGGCAGCAGCGTGCCTGGCTTTGGCAATATCCGGTGCAAAGCTGAAGATGGTCCCTGCAGACTGCGCCCCGAAGATGACTGCGCTGAAGCACAGGAAGAATTGGAACCTGAACATAACGGTTAGAACTAATATGACGTCTGTTCCGGGAATTGTCATCTACCCACATGGAATATTCGTGTCTGCCGAACAAGGTACCTCCATACCAAAAGCCGAGAGCCATGCAAAGGAATTGAAATGACTGAGATGCCGCGTAAAGAACGGATGACTTGAGAACCGACCACACTAACTTACGGCCTTGCGAGAGGAGCTGTTCGTGGTAGTGATTGCAAACGTCCGCCTCGCGGGTCAAGGAAGCCACGGTTCGGATGGCTGCTATGGCCTCGCAGGCATAGCTTGCAGAATTTTCGTAGGCTTTCTTCTTCTCCTTCTCGAGTCGGACCAGCATGGCCAAACGGAAGTACCCACAAGCGAGAAGGAGGGGGATGGTGGACATGCACACCAGACTAAGCTTCCACCCTACGGCCAGACCAATGGCGCAGGCGGCAACTAGGGTGGTGACCAGCAAGAGAATCGTCATAAGAGTAATCCCAGACAGCCCAGCCAGGTGTGAGGTCTCAGTGGACAGGAAAGAAGTGAGAGCACCCGAGGAACGTTTGTCGAAAAAGGCAATGTCTTGCCGGAGGATATATCGAAATGCTCGGTCGCGAACCCGGTGGGTAAGTCGCTCTGCGCAGTAAGAGAACGCAATACCCTGAGATATGAGTGCGAGCAGCTGTACAAAGGCGAGCATCAAATACATCAGCGACCAGAAATTGGCTTGTCGCCGTATCTCAGAGCTCTCTGAAATAGGAAGTGAAAGGGCTGTAATGCACTTGGCGAAGAAGACAGACTGTGTTGGATTACCTCCACCACAAATGGCCGAGAGCAAAAGTCCAAAGACCATATATTTCCATTCTTTTTTGTTCAAACCAGCGACAAACCGTATCAGCGTGAACAAGGTATAGTTGTCGGCAATGTCCTCTTGTCCCTTCTTCGCACTGTCTGAGCGTGTCTTGTCCACCTGAATGTCCTCAGGGTCTTCTCCTTGAACCTCTTTGTCCGAGATGTAGCGATTCTCCTTGAATTCGGGTCGCCGTAAATCGTTATCAGTTTCAGGCAGTATGGGATCTTCATCTTGGTTTCTAGACTCTTGCTTTGTCGCGATTCGCTGAGCCTCGGCCAAGTTGTAGTAAGCCCCTTTCTTCTGGAGAAGGTCATCGTGGGTGCCCTGTTCAACAATACGTCCGTGGGACATAACCACAATATTGTCCGCATTCTTGATAGTAGACAGTCGGTGAGCAATGATCACGGTAGTTCGTCCCTGGGCAGCTTTGTCGAGTGCGGCTTGCACAACTCCCTCGCTTTTCGTGTCGAGTGCAGATGTTGCTTCGTCAAGTAGCAGGATCTTAGGATTGCTAACCATGGCCCTAGCAATGGCAATGCGTTGTTTCTGACCTCCTGAGAGAAGGAACCCTCGTTCGCCAATGTCGGTTTCGTAGCCCTCAGGAAGGGAGGTGATGAAGTCGTGGGCCTGAAACGCAACGAAGTCAGAATATCGTATCGTATATGGTACGAGCAGAGAGGCGGTGTCTGAGACAGGGCATCATAGCATTTGCCTTACTTACGTTTGCCATCCGAGCAGCATGTTCGACCAGCTCACGAATTCCCTTTTCGGACTCGTGCTCGTTCGCTGTTCCGATCAAACCGTGCTTGATATTGCCAAAGATCGTAGTAGCGAATAAGGTAGGCTCCTGGCTCACCAGAGAAATTTGTTGTCGCAACCAGCGTAGATTCAAGTCTTTGATATCATGGCCGTCGATGTGTACGCATCCACCGACAGGATCGTAGAAACGCTCAACCAGCCCGATTATAGTGCTTTTCCCAGAGCCTGAAGCCCCAACAAGCGCAGTAGTCTTGCCCGCAGGGATCAGTAAGCTCACATTATCCATCACAACAACTTCGGGGCGGGAAGGGTATATGTGTCTGATATTCTTGAGTTCCACATTTCCTTGCAGTTCCTCCAGCTTCTGCCCCTCGGTCGATAAAGGGTCGAGAGGAGAGACACGATCAATGGTTGCGTAGATCTTGTTGGCTGCAGCAACCGCTGTGGTGATGGCCTGGATATTCGGTGTAATATTCCCGAGGGCAAAAGCCCCCATCATGATGGCCATTTGAATAGTGAGGATTTGCGCTAATCCAACGGAACCATCCACCAGGAAGCGGGAGCCCATCCAGAAAGACAGTCCGTAGTTGAGGTAGATGAATCTAAAAGAAGAAGAAAAAAGGTAAGGTCAGGCCACCGGGCTGTTTGAGGTAATTTCAAGAGACCGCCATTTGGACGGCAAGATGTTGTGCCACTCGCTGTACTTACAGAAAGAGAAAACCAATCATTGAGCTGGTGGTGGACTTGAGCTTAAACCCGGACTTCTCTGCTTCGACGAGATATCCATCGTATCGTCGAGCCAGCTTCTCTTGGGTATTGAACGCAGCCGCATTTCGGATCGAGCTGATGACCTCTTCCGCAACCGTTCCTCCTTCAGCAAAATGGCCGAGGTATGTCTTGCTGAGCTTGGCGACGAACGAGCCCACGGCGCCCAATGTAACAACAATGGCAGCGACAGTGGAACACAGAATCAGCGTGAGCTTCCAGTATCTGACGAAACCAATCACAAACGCAGCCACAAAGGTGGCGACGGCTGTCAGGGTCAATCCCACTTTCTCTGAGATACCTTCCTGGACAAGATTGGTGTCTGCCGTGATGCGTGTGGTGATCTCACCCGCTCCGAGCTCGTCGAAAAAAGCAATATTCTGCCTCAGAATGGCGGCCAAGAACTGCTGTCTGATTTTTGCTGTGATGTGTTGACCAGCGTACACGAAACCGACCGTGGCCAAGTACACCATCACAAACTCGCCAATAGCGAGGTAGAGGAAGTACAGAGAGAATCTGGCAAGCTCGCTGGTGAATTGGCTGTCAGGTATGTTGCCCAGTAGGAAGCTGCGGAAGGTGCCTGCAAGTCCTCCAAACAGGACGGTCATCAGAGGCATGAGTGCACCGCCGATGATTGCTGCGAGCGAGGCGATGACGAGGACAACCTTGTCATTCCGTGTCGCATAACGATACAGCGTCATGTAATTGACCTTGGTGGCGGGCAGATCCAACTGTCTCTTGAGGATGACCCTCTCGTGCTCAGGCAGATGCTTGAACGGATCATTATCTTCTTCATTTCTGTCTGCATCTGCCGGCGCTGAGCCGACTGCGTTCAAGGGAGGGTTGGTAGGCGCGGCGTCTTGGCCTGCCTGGACAGGCGCTTGCTGGTCTCCAAGGCCGCGGCTCGGCATGGTGAGATAGTCCAGCAATCATTCAAGGGGGCAGTGGCAGTCAGTTATGGTGGTCAAATCCAGAAATGGAGTGAGGATGAAGTTAGAGGATCGTTGAGACGAGGCTGAGCTGAATGCTCGCGTTTTGTTTACGCCCCTGAGTGTCCCTGAGTACTCCTTGCCGACGCGTTTTCTTTGTTTGGTATCAGTGGGGAGCGACAAGGATATGGGTACAGTAACCTGTGTATGATTGCTGTATTGCAAGGATGTTGTTAGTTTACTCAACTCTTCAGCAGCGAGTCAGCTTTAGATACATGGCCCCCTGACTCAGAACAATCAACAAAACATCATGGAACAAACAAGAAAACATCTCTTTTCATCTAGCGAATCTGACAGATGTCTGTGTACTATGTGGGCCACGACCTAGTCCAGTTCTTTACAGGGGCCCAGACATTGGAAGACATCCAAGACTTAGTCGCAGATCGCTAAGCCCTAGCCGGCGAATCAACGTGAGGGCTCGGAACTTACTGAATCGGGTAATGCCTGATTCTTCCCTTCACCCTATACGGACTCATTAATAACAGCCAGTATCGTTGGCGACAAAAAAAGCTATGTAGCTATCCATATTCCGAATCTCCGACCTCGCGTCTGTTCTGGCTTCTACTCCTTTGTTTGAATTCTTCTGATTTCCAAAGACCTCACAGCCTCAATGCGGGTAATCATCGTTGGCGGGGGCCTGGCGGGCCTCACGCTTGCAAGTGCATTGGAAAAAGCAAATATTGATTTTGTATTGCTAGAGGCCCGAGGTCGATTTGACCCCCAAGTCGGAGCATCAATTGGGCTGAATGCCGCCGCAATGCGCATCCTGGATCAGCTAGGGGCGGCCAAAGAGATCATGAATCATACAGCACCAATCAAAATGTCCAAAGTTCATCGCAGCGACGGTACACTGGTCATGCCACCAGCGTTCACTTTCCCGATCTTGAAAGCCAGGTATGAGCTAATTGAGTGTCTAGTCAGTTTTGAGGCAGTTTCATTGAAGAATATGCTAGGTTTGGCTACGGAGCATGCTTTCTGGACCGACAGCGCGCTCTCCAGGCGTTGATAGGCTCAATTGCACTGAAAGACAATATGCTGCCCAACAAGGCCGTGTTGCGGATCGACCAATCGGATTCTGGTGTCAGTGTATATTGTGAAGACGGCTCTTCCTACCATGGTGATGTAGTGGTTGGCTGTGATGGCGTCAACAGCAAAGCATCGACTCGTAGCGAGATGTGCCGTCTTGCTAAGGAGGATCCAGACCATTTCCGAGCGCTGAAGGAGCCAAGTATGTGCGCAAAGCTGCGGGTCAAGAACTGCGACTAATGCCTTTCTCCAGGAATGAGTGCTGAATTCAACTGTCTCTTCGGCATATCTGACCCCGTAGATGGTCTCATCGAGGGAACCGTCGACACCGTTTTTGACCACGGCAGGTCCATGCTCGTGATCACCGGGAAAGATGGACGAGTGTTCTGGTTTTACCATGAGAAGTTGGACAAGGTCTATTATACCGATGCCAAAGACTTCCCACGATACTCTCAAGCAGATGTGGATAGTCTCGCGCTCAAAAATGCCTGGCGACCCATCACCGAGACGGTGACGCTGGGAGATCTCTGGAAAAAGCGTGTGACCTGCACGCTGGTACCGTTGGAGGAGGCCCTGTTTAGGATGTGGAGCTGGGGACGTATAGCGACTGTTGGGGATAACTCCCATAAAATGACCCCTAATACTGGCCAAGCTGGGAACAATGCAATCGAGTCTGCTGCTGCGCTAGCAAATCAACTCCAAAGGATCCATGATGAGGGGCTGATTACCTCTCAGACGATCAAATCAGCGTTCCGCAAGTGGCAGGAGAAGCGCCAGGCCCGAGTCAACGCGACAGTGAAAGAAGCGGCGATGGTTTGCCGATTGCAGGCACTGGATAGTCGCATGGCCCCCTTCGTCATGAACTATGTTGTGCCAAATGCCACCGAGTCGCTGCTGAGTCTAGTCACCAGTACGCTCATCGGCGCTGAGATCATTGAGTACCTACCAGTACCAGCCCAGTCTTTCGAAGGCTCCTGTCCATTCAACCCAAGCCAAGGTATCGGCAAACGCGAAAGTTTGCTCAAACGTACGGCCCTTGCGTTGCCATTGCTCGTTCTCTCTTCTTGGGTGGCGACAATGATGCCCATTGATAGTGTGGATAGTTCTATAGGCCAATTCCTGCAGCCAAGACAACTCACGGGATTCGGTGAACGAGCGCAATTGCTTCAAAATTTACGCCCCCTTGCTGAGGAGAGTGTCATCTATGCCATATGGCTCATTGAGTCGAACCGTCGTGCCAATGTGATGACGTTCGCGCACTTTCCAACCATCTTTTGGCTCCTTGGCCTTAGGTTTGGACCAGGGGTTGTTACCCCTTGTTACTATGCGCTGCACTTTGTATTCTCAGGCATCGAAAAATTCGCGGCAGCTGATGCAAGGCTCACCAATGTGGCCTACACCCGGTTGATCTTGCCATCAGTAGTGCTCTTCATGGGTGCACCGGCTTTCCTCACCCTGAGCGGCTACTCCATCAAGGTCGATACAGCGTGGTGGCACTGGCGATGGATGCTCCAGCCACAGATTTTGATTGCCATAATGCAGTGGATAATGGTCAAAACTCGGATGAGCAAAGCCAGCATGCACGAGGACACAATGAGCAACCAGCTGCGGGATCTCCCCTACATCCGATGGTGCTTATGTGTCCTCAGTGCCGTATCTGCAGCGAACTACATAGCTACGCGGCAGAGCCTAATCTTGGACGCTTTTTCGCCTGCTTTCTTGCGTGGAGCAGGTGGAGATTTGTCCGAGTTCAGCCGACACGGGACCCTCCTCCTGGCGAGTCTCTTCTGGGTCGGCCTCTTGATACATGACATCAAGAGTGCCGGGATGGCTAAAGAAAGTTGGGCGAAGATACTCACAATAGGCTTTGTGTCTGGCGCACTTGCCGGCCCTGCGATTTCCGTGGCGCTGGGGTGGATTTGGCGAGAGGAGATATTGGCGTCTAGGAGAGAAAAACACGCGGTCACTAGGGACAAGTATTCAGGAAAGTCGATCCTTGACGTCCAAAAAGAGATGCTCCTGCCCAAAGGAAAGGCGGCGAAGTGAGAAAGTCGCAGGCTTGCTGATTCTTCGACCCTGTACAGGATGTGCTACCGGTATATTCAGACATGGTTTATATTCTGACTAATTCTCACTGGGACAAAAAAGTCGCATGTTTCTCTGCAAGGACTCGCCGCGGTAGAATACATGCTCATACATGCTCATACATATAGACTACTATCAAGATTCATAAAGAGAAAGGCCGCGCTTTCGTGTGGGTTGCTATAGATACTGTTATCGAAGTGGAAGCACCGCCTGGATCACGATGGCTGATGAGCTGGTCTTGCTGCCTTTAAAATCATTTGATATCGGTAGTAGACACGATATAGCGGCATCTGACTTCATGTAAATCTAGAGCTTGCCTTGGCACCTCAAGCTTGGAAATCTCCCGCGAAACACCAAAGCAACGAAGGAGCTTGTTAGTGTTCTATTGAGATTTCTGAGCACCAAAATCGAGCCCACTTGAGAAAGCCAGTCCGAGTTCAAAGAGGACTGAGCCTGACGTAGCACTGTCGTGGCATTCGGAAAAGTCGCTGTTGAGACTCCATGCTGCCTAGGTCTTTGGGAAGAGACTCGAACTTGAAGTTCAAGACCAGGAGCACGAGGTTTACGCGAAATTCCATCAACGCGAGATTTCTGCCTAGATATACGCATCAGTGTCAGCCAAGGTTACTGTCCTACTTATGGAGCGTCCTAACGGAGGGTCATATGTGAGCATGATAGTCAAGTTCACATACCATAGCACATCCGCGGACCTGCAGAGAATCCCAGACGTGGAAATTGACGGGGGTTAAAGGAACCGTCTTCTGCAAGCCACCGCTCTGGCTGGAAATCATCCATGCCGTTGACATCCCAGTATGATTCGAAGTTACCCTTGGAGTTACGGGAAGTCTCGGATCTCAAATGCTCAGGGATATCGAGGGGCTTTGTACCGATATAAGGGTTGAGAATTACGGTAACGCCCTTGGGGATTGAGTATCCGAGCACCTGGGTATCGGTGGTAGTTGTCCGAACGAGACGAGGAGACGTGTTCGCCGCTCGGATGGATTCCTCCATGTATGCTTCGAGATACGGGATCGACGTGCTCATGATAGCTTTCACTGAAGGTTGCTCTCCATTGGAACCTTTAGGCAAAGCATCAACAAGGGCCCTTCGTAGTTTTTCTTGCTTCTCGGGATTGGCGATCAGAAATTTTACAGACCAGGAGAGGAGAACAGCCTTTGTCTCGTGTCCCTTTGAATTCCTGGGCATCAGCTATCTGCCTCACCATTTGGTAATTGGCAAATTGGGCCTTGTACTTACAGCGACCAGAATCATGAACAGCTCATCATGAACCTCAGCTTGAATTGATGCCGAAAATGGGACGTTGACGGGCTGTCCCTGACGTATGTGGGCCAAGAGCTGACGCCGTACACCAGTGACCACGGCAGAGCTCTCTTCAAGCTCCATCAGTTGACGCTCGGATATCCCTGCTAACTTCGAGCGGGTGCTTTCAATAAGTCCGTCAATGGTGCTGTTTTTGAAAGCTAATTTCCGCTTGTAGACGGGTTGCTGTCTGAGATACCAAAGGTGCCACTTCTGGAAGACTGACTTCAGCGACTCTGCCACTGTGCTTATAAAGAATGACACGGCCTCGCACATATCAGGCTTCTGAATGACTGGAATTCGAGCCGGCGAGTCCAGTGATGGCGGTTGGACCGTGTCTGAGGCTGCGCAGAGGGCCTTGTTGCATGCATTCTTGATGGCGTCGACATTGGTCCCGAATACCAGTTCCCATATCAGCTCGAACGCTGCTACATCGAAGTCGTCGAAGCAGTAAAATGGTCGACCACCGGCCATTTTGGCCTGAGCTCTGAGTAGGTCGATTAGCCCCAGGGCGCATCGGTACACCTTGGGCTCAGCGACGCGTCGTAGGAAAGGCGTGCCGGTAACGCCCTCCCAAAAGCGTCTCTGGTGTTTGAATGCGGGCCCCGTTGCTTTGACCAAACTGCAATGCGGAAGAAGAGAGCGATAAGCATCTTGTGTTCTGGGAGCGCGATCGAATTCGTGCGTGCGGTTGCTGAGAATATCTTTGACCTCGCGAACGTCATCAATGATGATTGTGGGATTTGAAAAGGGCGCGAGAAAGAGCTGAATCACGGGCGAGTTGAGCTTCCTGCTCTGCTGGAAGATGAATTTCGCTGGGTCCTGGGTTATCTTGACAGCGTTGAGCAGCCCCGACGAGTCTCCCCAGAACTTTCTTGCTGAGGCAGCATTGTATGGGATACCTGGATATGGGTTTGGATATGCCCGCTTCAAAACATAGCAGAGGATGAATGCGAGGACTATTGAAATCAAAGTTGGATGGTTCAATGATAGTATATCCATATTTTTTTTCTAGCGGTCCCGCTCAGAGAAACGAACAAAATGTAATCGATGACAGGTTTCGTGGACTTTTGAATTGTACATTTTGCTGGCATTCTCCGATCGCGGTTGACGGCAGACATCTATGGGTATTCCGACTATTGCCATCTGTTCAGCGGTCAGGTATGGAAAGATCCGAGCAACATTCCATTATTACTGCTCAACGGTTGAAACGCGAACTCGGATGTTTCCTCTTTGGGAAATCCGAAGCTAAGAAACACACCATATTGGCAGGTCCACACGCAGTGCTAACGGAACTCCACCACGAAACACTACGAGAGAGAAGATGACAAGGCTTGGACAAACGAATAGGAATAGAATGCTTCTAAGCTTCGCCCCGGAGTCGCAAAATTATCACTAGTGTACAGAGTCTGTATATATAATATGACATTGACCTGTATGTTCAAGTCTTGCCAAACACGGGACTTCCTAGATTCCCAAGTAAACAAGCAGTGACATATACGTTATTTTAAGCTACTGAACATGGCTCCAATTCCCAACCCTGACGCAACTCAACCAGGCGACTCCCCCAGAACCAACGGAGCTACCATGAATGGCACCGAATCGCCACGGCAACATGCACCCTCAATCCCCATTGCGATTGTTGGCATGGCTTGCCGCTTCAGTGGGAACGTCAGGAATCCTACTCAGTTGTGGGAACTCTGCGCGAATGGGAAGGATGGCTGGTCTCACATCCCCGATTCGCGCTTTGATGTGAAGTCGCTGTACCATCCTGATAATTCAAAAGCTGGCAGAGTAAGGTTTCCATTCTATATTACATGCCCGCAAAGCGGGAAGGGTCATTATGTCAATGAGGGCTGACGTATATGCAGAGCCATGTTATTGGCGGCTACTTTCTGGATGATGATATCGCTTGTTTTGATGCGGCCTTTTTTAATTTGGCCTCAGATGTCGCTAGTGTAAGTAGGGCCTGATTATGCCCCGAGCTTCGAAGAAGCTGACGTCGAGAAACAGGGTCTTGACCCTCAAGCCAGACTGTTGCTCGAGACTGTCTACGAAGCGACAGAAGATGGTTAGCTCCGTTGTCCCTTGCGCTTCTGCCAAGAATGGTTGGATAAGCTGACCCGCTTAGCTGGCATCCCCCTGGACAAGCTCGCTGGCACCAATACATCGGTCTATACCGGAACATTCAACAAAGATTACCATGAAATCCAGACCAAGGATGCCGAGGTTTTGACCCGCTCCTTTCTCGCCGGCACAGGCACCGCAATGCTCTCCAACCGCGTCTCGCACTTCTTTGATTTGCAAGGACCAAGTCTTTCCATCGACACGGGCTGCTCCTCGGGCCTGGTGGCAGTCCACCAAGCGTGCCAAAGCATTCGCGCTGGGGAGAGTAACATTTCAATTGTCGGTGCTTCTAGTACACTCCTTAGTCAAGATGCCTTCATTTCGGCATCCACCATTGGGTAAGTGCGAGTTTGCAGGATTGCATGAACCTCTTCCACCAGAACATGACTGACAGAAAGTCTGGGTAGTGCCATTGGATCCGAAGGCAAATGCTTCGCCTGGGACAATCGTGCTGCCGGCTACGGACGTGGTGAGGGTGTAGCGGCACTCATTCTCAAACCTCTGGATGCCGCGCTTCTCGCTGGTGACCAAATCCATGCCGTCATCAAGGACAGCGGAGTCAACCAAGACGGGAAGACGACCACAATTACCTCCCCATCTGCTGACGCCCAGGTCAACTTGATTGAACAATGCTACCGTCGTGCAGGGCTTGACATCGCTCAGACTGGCTACGTGGAGGCTCACATGACCGGCACAGCAGCTGGGGATCCCGTTGAGGCCGAGGCAATTGCGAGAACCTTTGGAAAGGCTCGCCAGGCAAATGACAAGGTACTGGTTGGCTCTGTGAAGACAAATGTTGGCCACACCGAGCCCGTTAGTGGTCTTGCAGCCGTTATCAAGACCACATTTGCGTTGAAAACAGCGTCGATCCCTCCGAACCTCAACTATGAGACTCCGAATCCAAGCATTGACTTTGATAAGGGCCATTTGGAGGTGCCGACACGGTTGACGCCATGGCCGGAAGACAAGATCCTTCGCGCTTCAATTAACAACTTTGGTTACGGTGGAACGAACGCTCACGTCATCTTGGAGCCTGCGCCAGCCCCAGCAGCAATTTATCACCTGAATGGACAGTCGACATCTGAGGGAAGTCAATCGGGTGATAAATCGCGCGTTTTCGTGGTCAGCGCGAGGGACTCTGCTGCCTGTCGGACTGTGATGGACCGTCTTGCTTCTCATATTATTGAGACGTCACCATCGCCAGACAGCCTTGCTTATACGCTCAATGAACGTCGATCACTACACCCCTGGGTTGCGGCTGTCCGGGCCACGTCAATTAAAGACCTGGCTGAACGACTTCGAGAGTCGGAACGCAAGCCCTCATTTGCGTATAAAAAGCCTCGTTTAGGGTTTGTGTTCAATGGCCAGGGTGCCCAATGGCATGCAATGGCTAGAGAGCTTCTTACCGTGTACCCCGTTTTTGGCCATGCCATCTCTAATGCTGGCAAGGTCCTGAAGGAATACGGAGCCTCTTGGTCATTGATCGGTAAGATCTTAACCCAACGTCCAACATATTAAGCTTGCTCACAATACATTGGCAGATGAACTTAATCGTGATGAAACCACGACACGAGTATCCGAAATCCATTTGAGTCAGCCGATTAGTGTCGCGATTCAGCTCGGCCTCATCGATCTGCTCAAGTCCTGGGGCATCACCCCTTCTGCCATCACCAGCCATTCCAGTGGTGAAATTGCCGCGGCCTATGCAGCCGGAGCGCTTCCTTTCGAACAGGCACTGGGTGTGGCATATTACCGTGGCGAGCTAGCCCGCAAGCAACTCAAGGTGTCCTCCCTTACGGGTGGAATGCTTGCCGTAGGCATTGACCAACAGAGTGCTGAGGGACACATTGCTGAAATTTCCCCTACGGGCGATGTCGTCGTGGCTTGTGTCAACAGCCCCAGCAGCGTTACCCTCTCCGGGGACTTGGACACTCTCGACGAGATTGCTGCTAGATTCGAAAAAGAGGGAGTATTTACCAGGAAGCTCAAGGTCCCCATGGCCTATCACTCCCACCACATGATGCCTATGGTGGCTGAATATACCGAACGACTGGAGGAATTGCTTGACCTTCCTGTGACGCCAGAATGGAATGGACCCCTGTTTGTATCGCCGGTAACGGGTGAGGCTGTGACAGCAGTAAAGACATTCAGGGCCGAACACTGGGTCCAAAATTTGACCAAGCCGGTTCAATTCAGTCGGGCATTTGAGAACATGTGCTTCAGCTCATCAGACTCTTCAGCCTCTTCTGCCAATGTTGATCTTATTTTAGAGATCGGGCCTCACAGCACCTTGGCTGGCCCAATTCGCCAGATCCTGAAGGAAAAAGATGTCAAAATGCCCTATGTGTCATGTCTCAGACGGCCAATCAATGCCGTGGAGACAATGCAAGACCTCGCATGTGAGCTACTGTCTCAGGGCTATCCAGTGGATCTCAAGTCGGTCAACTTTCCTACTGGGGATGCTCACCATACCTTTTTGGCCAATCTGCCCTCTTATCCGTGGAATCATTCAACTCGCTTTTGGGTGGAGCCAAGGATTGCCAAAGAGCAGCGGTTCAAGAAATTCCCTCCTCACGAGCTACTAGGCACCCCTCTGAATGGATCGAACGCTCTCACTCCCACTTGGAGAAACTTCCTGCGTCTTTCGGAAATTGAATGGCTCAAGGATCATCAAATCGATGATACAGTTGTGTTCCCTGGCGCCGGATACATTGCCATGGCCATTGAGGCCATACGGCTTATCACTGATCCTTCCGAGAGCACAATTCGGAAGTACCGGCTGCGAGACATTGACATTATGAATGCGTTGGTGCTTCCTGACTCCGAAATGGGAGTTGAAGTGCAACTCCAGCTGCGTCGTTGCAGCGACAGAGAGCTTGACCACGAAGGCTGGTATCAATTCGAACTCTGCTCTCTGGCGAGTGCCGATGCACCGTGGATTGAACACTGCAAAGGGTATGTCGCCGTTGAAACTGAGAGCGAGACTAGAATCATCGCCCTCAATGATGAGCGCGAGTTTTCGCGCGAAGATGCCTTTTTTGCCGACGGTGTTGATCCCCGCCCTATCGACATTGATTCACTTTTCGCTGGTTTGCGTCAACGCGGAATCTACCACGGTCCACTCTTCCAAAATATCGTTGACAGTCACGCAGCTCGTAATAGAGCAATTACGAATTTCGCAATCTCAGACATCGCTCACCAGGAGCATGAGTATGTTCTGCATCCCACTACGCTGGACTCTATTCTGCAATCGTCGTTTAGCAGCCTGCCAGATGATATTGGGCAAAACACCATGGTTCTTCCTCGTTCGATTCGTACAATCGATGTTCCGCGGAATTTCAAGAGACAAGGTGGTGAAAGATTGAGAGCTTTGAGTGACATGATCACAGGAGATACGCGTGGCTATTCATCAAACATAACAGTCGTGTCTGACAATTCGGATACAACCCGCTCTTTCCTTGAAATCAAAGATTTCTTTGGCTCGGCAATTCCTCGTCGTGTTCAAGATTCAGACGAGGAGGCGGGCATCTGCTCTATCAACTGCTGGGAATTGGATATCCTTCACAACCCTCCCGCCTCTTTCAGAGAATCCATGGTCATTCCAGTGAAAGAACATGAGATTGAGCAAGAGAGGAAACTGACCCGGATGTCCTACATTTTCATCCATGATGCCGCCGCGGAACTTGAATCCCAAGAGCCAGAGTCCTGGCAATGGCACCACAAGCGATTGTACGCTTGGATGAGAGAGGTTGTGGCACTTGGTGAAGCCGGACAACTCGGACCCAACAGTCAGTCATGGGCTAAGCTAAGCCCAGGTGCGAAGAGGATCCTGGCGGACGAGCTCAGCGCAGGGAATGCGGCTGGTCGGCTCACTGTTCGGATTGGAGAAAAGCTCACAAGCATTATCCGCGGAGACATTATGCCGCTCGAGCTGATGATGGAAGGTGATCTCCTGAATCAATTTTACATGCAGCACGAGGCTCTCAAGACCCGATCCTACTCGCACCTC